TTGTGTATTATATGATGTTAGGGTGATAACATTAACTTCAAAAGCTGAGGTTAGAAATGCAAAGTACGGGCTTAAAAGCCGCTCTTTTAGGTTTTCGGAAAACAAAAATAAAAATAGCCAAACAATTGGTTTAGCGATCAGATTGTTGTGTCTCGATCATATGGTTATGATCAAAGGCCAACTGATTTTGTAAATAAGTCAGGAGCTGTGGAGAGACTCACCTTTTACATGTTTTGGCTCTTAAGATTTTATTATAAAGTAATAGTTTAGTTTTTCTACTTATTTTTTGACCAAATGGTGTAGTACTAAACTGTACCTGATACTTATATATCTATTTTTGGATAAAAACTTAAATTTTTGTTGAAAGCTTATCACTACAAATATGATACCAAGAGTCATAGATTGTAAACACTTTGTTTATTGTGTAGTAAAATGCATTATTTATGAAAATCCGAGCATGTTAGCGTGATAGAGAAACGTTCTTAATGTTCCAGATGGGAAACACCACTTGTTTGACGTATGATTTCGTTATCAAGGCTAGTCATACAGTATGATCAACAATGTTTAACACATTGCAAGCCTTGCATATATATCAAGCTTTTGTTGAGCATTCGAGTAGTTTTAGGGGTTTTACTTGTAGGAGTTACTACGGTTTTTTGTGGTATTTTAATAATAACCTTATCTTTTGTAGTACGTGATGTATTAAGGTTTCTACGTTATTATACTAGACTAAATTTTGCTAAAGTTAATTAGAATGAGATAAGGCACCTCATCGTTCTTGATATTTATAGTATACTCATGCATTTATAGTAGTAAAACATGTTTAGTTTTAAAAAAATGTGATAAATATAACCCTTGCACTATAATGCAAACAGTGATTAATATGATTATACTTTCAGTACTTCTAAACTGACATTGAGATCTCTGTATATAAAGGTTGTATTATCGATATTTGTTTACTGTTGTTTGTTTTGGTACCATGTAGCTCACAATACCGTATGTTTTACGAGTTTGTAATAATTTTTTCTTACTAAAATTCTATTCAATATCTTTATGACATTTCGTATTTTACTGTCTTTTACTTTTATTTAGGGTTATGACTTACTCTTTTAAAACCTAATGTTATAATGCAACATCCTTCTATATCTTTCTCTTCACTCATCACTTTGTTATATAACCCTCATTTCTCTAAACCCAGCGATCAATAGTGATTTGCAGGAAATCGATCCGTTTTATTATTGACCTCGTCTGCAAGGTCCATTTCAAAGGCGAAAGTCCTGACAAATCGAGTCTACATTGAGATTTGGGGTATGTTGAGGATATTGATATAGGCTTTTAATATAGGCATAGTGCTTGATTGGTGTAGCCTTATTTGAAAAGATATAGAGCTCTATGAATAAATTATTGTTGTTTTAGAGTAGAAATAGTAAATAATATAGTGAGGTTGTGTTAGAATAAGAACATGTCGAAGTTCGTTTATATTGTTTTGATCGTATTTCCCTTTTACTTGGCTTTCGAGACGGTAAACAAGGATTTCCGAGGGAAAACGAAGGTTTTTGTTCGTATTCAGCGTTAAAATAATTATTTCGTTTCATGGAAGGTAACCGTTTATAATGGGTATTGTATACAGGATAATGGAATACATGTCAGTCAAACCAAATATATTCAACTTGACTGATTATTCAGGTATATTCAGTAGGGTGTGTTATGAGTAGTGAGAGGAAATAATCTACAAATTTGTTTAGACTAACAATGTTTTATAACAAGGGCGGTCCAAAAGTGAATAGAAGAAAGGGTTTTTATGTTTGATGGCTAACTTTTCAAAAATGTTTTAATGTTTGGGATAGCTAAAAATTTTAAGACTCAATTTTCAGAATAAAAATTCCGATATTTTAATATAGTAGCAGCTGTTGTACGATGTAATGTTATATGATATTCTTTACTAATCGGTCAAGTTTTACAATGATTAACAAGAGGACAAACGTTTTATATGCTGTGATTTACTGGGTATGTTTTTAATGTTTGTTTCACGTGTTTTTCATAATGTCAGTTCTTGATTACTATATATTATAGTACTTTAAATGTACTTCAAAATACATTTGGATACTATATATAGTAAAGAGTTCTATGTATACTAAAGGGAGCTATGTATACCATAAAGTGGTATATATACTACGGAGTATTGTAAATGTAATCGTCTTTGCCTTGTGTCTAATATTATAATGTTTCATTTGGTGTAATATGTAGCTTACATAATGTACGTTGCCATTAGCTATAAGAAGACGTTTCATTATGGAGTGGGTCTATTGTATCACGGCCTATAATTAAGGTAAATTAATGTGTTAACTGCAATTCTTTGCTATTTTTGTAACCCTTACTTTACAAGCATAACAAGCCAAATTCGTCGCTCTTTAATTAGCGTACTTGACATCTTGTGCGCTTTATACGACGATAACACTTTACCCATATCAAGCGTTACTTTGCCATTAAAAATAAAGCGTATATGCCATCTCTGTAAACGTAAAAATTTTATGCCATAGCTAGTGTGACATCTATTATAGCCATGGTATGTAAATGCTTTATATTGTTGTGAAGCAGCAATTTTATATTGGTGTAAGACAGCAAAGTAGGTCATTTTTATACCATAGCTCATGTATGCTTTGGTTCCTCTGTTATATCTCTCTCGTCGATCATAACACCCCTCGTGATAAGGGTCCAAAAAGTCGTCGCTTTTTGTAAATTACTTCCAATTCCACTCCTTCACTCCATATGCGATTCAACTCTGAATCACATGCTTCGCACACTATACTGATATTAACTTTGTGGACAGTTCTATCACATGTACTTGGTATTAATTGTCGTTCAAGGGTATTAACCATGCTGTAAAGATATTTAATATCGAAAGTTTGTTCCTCTTTTACGTGATGCTTTAGTTAAATGTATTCATATGTACTTGAAGATAACTATCATTAATATATATACTTTGACATTACCTATCATGCACACTTTACGTTTTATCGCTCTCTCACATGTACTTGATATTAACGTTGTCTCTTTAATGTTTACCGAACGTCTATACCATGTCATATGCTAGTAGAAGATTGTTATCTCCAGATTATGGAACTCGGAACCATTTCCAAAGGTTTTTTGGTCACAGACTTGAACTGAACTTTGAATCGTTCGGAAAACCATTCACATTGTAATGGAAGGCTTAAGCGACGGGTTTCTAGTAGGGAACATTGTAAAGTGATGACATATTAGTGGGGACTGTAAAGCAGAGACATTTCTTTTGGTTTAGATGGCTTAATATGGTTTTATTGATTTATATTATACGGTAAATGACGTTTTTTATAAAAGTTTTTGACTTTTTAAAGCCTTCAGGGTTAATCACGCTGTTTTTTAAAATTTTAACTAAAATGTGATACCATAGTAATAAAATTCTTGCTGTAGCATTTAAAATCCATTTACAAGCCTACCTGCTTCACATTTCGGTCTCCATGACATCCAATACTATATATACTGGCCACATCTGCCTGATATCCACCTCTCTATCCCCCACACTCTCTCCTCACTCATCGCGTTTCTTCGCTTGTCGCTCAAATATTTCTCGTTTTTATGAAAGCTACTTGTTGTAGTAGGTTTTCTTCAAGTATTACGCAACAATCACAAGTTGATCACTATTTTGTTTATTTATTTTTTGAACCTTTGGCTGAAAACAGTGCGCGAATTGGAAGAATTCAAGGTTATTTTCGACTCATTGTTCAAACACCTACAGTTTAATGGGGTTTTTTAGTCACTAATCGGCAGAATAGGTAATGATAGGGTTAAGAATAATGTTGGTTTAGTTATCTAATTTGTGAAAAACTAAAAATTCACGTTTTTGGAGCGTTTTCAATAGGATAAAATGGGTTTTTAAATGAATTTTTCAATTTTAAAATGGCTTTTAGGCTTACATTTTAGGGTTTTTCAAGAACTATGAGTATCAATGTTTACAATATAGATCGGTATCTATTTTTAAATCTATTTTATTTATTTTATATTATATTTTATTTATTCGCGATATTTTCTCTCATTCATTTGTGACACTTCGTCTTTTCTCTGGCGTCTCAAGCGTCCCTTTTATATTTTTTTTTGCATTTCGTCTGTGGCTTCTGCGAGTTGTGAGTAGTTTTTTGAATAGAGAATATAACAGGAATGTTTAGAGGTTCTAGAGATTTAGAATATTATATATTACATTTTTACTTTATTCAAGTTAAACTGATAATTGCTATTTTCCGGACTTTTATTTGTAATTTTAGTTTAGAATCGGTATCCAAACGACGACAATTTACAGAATTATCAAAGTCTCTTTTACAGGATCCTTTCCATATTGTGGCACATAAAATGTTATCATCCATTGACCTTATCGAAGAAACGTCTAGGAAAAAACTTTGTCTTCTATTCTTAACAACCCAGAAAAGTTTTAGATTTTTTGGATTTTATTACCTAAAAATAAAAAACCTGCAATTTTTCCTCTTTTTTCATAAAATTTTCTTCTTTTTTATGTAGAATCCAGTTTTTCGCACTTCTGATCCAACAAAAAAGTAGTGTCACGATGGAAGTGTCCACCGCTCTCCCCGTTCCATTCTCCCACCTCCCGTGCCCCGTGATTATCTTCTCTCGTCTCTTTCTGAACCCCGTGATCAAAAAAGTGAGAGTCGGGAAAGTGCACTTTCTTTTTACGGAGTCTTCGGGAGTTGGGACAGAGCCGAGAAAAGCCAAGCTCTCTGCCATTGTCTCGCGTCTCCGTGTTTGGCATCGTGTTTGGCCAACGGCTTCCGGCTTCTAGTGTTTTTGGAGCCGAGAATGTTAAATAACCTCTGATATTAATGTATTCGCGATGTAAATCGATTGTTAACTCGTTTTGAGGCGTGAAAACAATATAGACGGTTGTTTTGTATGTGTAGGACGTATTGAACTACTTACCAGTGATTAACTTGTTGTTTTTCAGGTTATCTCGTATGAATGCGCGAACAAAACAGTTGCAATTGGTAAGTTTTCACCTTTTCCTTGTCAATTTAGATAACAAATCGATATAAAGCAAGATTTTTTGATGATATGTTTGTAAAATGACGGATAACTTCTTTTAGTTGTACAAATAAGTTAATGAATCGGTTTAAAAGGTTAATATCGATCAATTTCAGACTGTCGAATCGCGCCAATTACAAGATGCGGCTTCGTGCATATTCCACACATTACTCCTTCACAGAACCACAGGCAAATTCCACTACTCCACGGATGTAAATTATAAAATTGGTTGTATCGGATTACAGGAGATTCAGTGCGAAGAGATTGATCTCACTTATGTAAGTTCATATTACCGAGACATAATTGAAAGTTTGAACTTTCTTTAGGTGAACTAACTTTCAATTTTTTATTTATACAGTAGTTAAGTTCATAGGGAGTTAATTAGTCGTTAAAAGTGCTTTATGCTTAAAAAATCGATAAAACAATATTTTTTATACCTAAAACAACATAAACTTTATATTTTAGGTACGGGTAAACAGTCCGGAGCTAATATCAGACGTGGAGAAACGAGTATCAGACATTCAAGAAGCTGTGCGGAACACAACCACTGCCGGTTTCGTCGTAGGATCATCGCCCAAATCAAATACATCTTCACCTTCACCGAGTGTTCGACTTTATGGCATTGGTAAGGTCAACATACGGTTGAATATTCTCTGTTTAGACAAATGGGAAAGTTTAATGACTGCCCCAATGAAATTGGAGTTCTATCAGAAGCGAAAAAGACAATGGCCAATGTTTGAGGACCTGTCGCCATGGGAGGTATGGGACCTTAACTTTGACGTCGTCAAGATCGAATCTCATGGTGAGTTTTGGGGGTTATCATGTTAAATAACGTGTATATACGTCAGAACTAATTTGTTATTACAATTTTTTTGTAAAGATGAAACCGTATGTGATTTTTAAATGATAAAATAGGTAAATACCGCACATTTACACTCGTATTTTTTTAAATTTGAATGTAATTTCAGAGGACTTCAACCCCATGAGAGAGTATGTTGGCGAAAAGTTGGGTGAGATTGTGCTGAACATCTGCCAAATCATGAATCGATCCCAATATATGCCTGCCATGCCCAACCGCGAGTCTTTGACGGACGTTTTTGACGATCGCTTCCGAGACTGCGAACCTTACCTTTATCGAATCGACTCGGACTTATTGACCAAACCTAATGACACATCCAAATCCAGCATTGTCATGAGGTTGTTCAGAGATACGATGAAGTTCACGGGCTGATAAGGAGGATTTGGTACCTATGTTGGTGATATAGTACCTAAGTTGAACAATTTATTATTCAATGGTACCGTATACAACTTATATATACAGTAATGCTAACAATAATTCGCTGGTTTGTTGCCAGCTCATGGTACCCAACCTTATGGTACGATACTCACCTTAATGGTACCTTCATCAACTAATCGCCCTTTCCTCTTCTGTATGATACCATGACCATCATTTTGGTATCAAAAACACCAAAATAGTAATCCAACCACTCCAATGGTACCCACAATCAACCTAATAGTACACTGATTCACGGTACCCGCTCATAGTGCCCCGTTCATTGGTCATATTATGTTACACTAGATTTCACAGCTTTTCTTTCTCGTTTTACGGTCTTTGTATGTATCCCCCTCTATAACAACTACTTCGGGTGTTTATATTGTAATATGTTCGCATTTATATCGTCGTTGTACTACTACTCTTACCATTATAAATCAGGAAAATTTTGGCGAAAATTCAAAATTTTCGGTCGAAAATCAAAAAAAAATCAGTCGTTTTACCTCTTTTTCCTCTTCTCACGTTGTTACATGTATCGTAATGTTGATCACAATCACTGTCAGAAAATTGTAAAAAAATGTAAAAAATATTGGTGTTGTTGCTTTAATAAATGCGTGTTTTCTCTAATATCGGGCGGATTTTTGATTGAACCAGTTGTTTTCAATACATGGTAACATACTTAAAGATTGTAATATTAACTAAAAATAAAGGTAAATTTGTATATAATCCTTGTTTCCTAAACAAAATTCTTAAAATTATCAACAACAACACAATTGGTTGCTTGTAAATAAGAGCAAGATTTGACTCCATAATTTAACGTGTCAAGTGTGACTCTTATTGTTTTTTCATCGAAATTGATAATTCGAAGAATTTTTTTTTTTTTCCGATGTCATGAGTTATGATTACTACTAAATATTTTTTAACTTGAGTCGGAGTAATAGACATCGACATTGTTATAGAGTTACGTTTCTAGGTATATTTTTTAAAAATCAGATAACTTTTGATAACAAAATTAGTTTTGGGAAAGTTTTTTGATCTTTGGAAATGGTTTTCGTTTTATTCTGCGAAAAAAGGACTTATTAGTTCAATCTGCTGTTTAAAATATTGCTTTAGATGTTTGAAAATGGGTAATGTTATTTTACATTGCTTAATTTCAGTTTCTTTGTTTCTATTATAATTTATGTCACTCTTACTCGACATTTCGCTTGTAACTTTAACAAATTGTAAAACTTATTATCGTGTTTTCTTGATTTTAATTGATTATTTTTTAACTTTACTTTTGTTTTCAGAATGCCATATCTGACACATGTTTGTATAGCGCGAATAGAACCTCCGAACCCGTTTGGTCATCGAATCACTCCGTTAGCTTATCACATTCTGGATGAGTCTTCTTCTTCCAATTTCTTGAATTTGCATGATTTCTGTGATTTGATTGAAAGAGGCGCCGAATCCTTGGATTACGTGCTGGTTGATAGGATACAGGTCAATCCAGGGTATGTTCAACTTTGATTTATGAGCTGTTTATATTTTCTTTGATCAGTATAAAACGTTTTGTAAATACTACTCTATATAATAAAAGTTGTATGTTTATAACTTGGGTTATCGCGGAGATATGAGTGGTTTAGTTTGAACTTTGAAAAATTTCGAATTTTTTCGAAATTTCAAGTTTACTTGGCTTTGAAAAGCTATAACTTTATTACTATAGAACATATCTTGCTAAAAACTTTTTCATATATACTACTGTCTATGCTTTAAAATGTCTATTTTAACTTTTTGTTATAACGTTGTTAAAATATTGGAATATAAGCTTTATAACAGATCTAACCCTAAAATCTAAAATTCCAGGACGACATTACATTTTGCGTTACAACCGAACCGACTAGTTGCGATATGTTTGTTTTGTGTTGGAGACGACAAATGTAAAACGAATCAGATTCAGGCGTTCTTCAATTTTATGAGAGTGTTGTACGAAGATGACAACGAGGTAGAACAACTAATAGCACAGACACGTGAAGGTGGATTACAACAGTTGCTGGGAGAGAAGCTACAGAATGAAATGGTACGGTGTTTATAGTGCTATGTATATTTAGGGTTTTACTGTTTGAGGTTAACATTACCAAAATAGTTGTTGATAAGATACCAAAAGGGTTTGGCATAGCTTTTACGACATTTTATATTGATCTAACGTCTTAAATTTAGAACTTTCTAACTTTCATTAAAAAAATATTTCAAAGTTAGTAATTTAAAGCAAATGTCAATTTAAATCAAACTTTTCAAAGTGCCGTATCTTGAAATCTATTCATGTCGTAGCTGCCAAGATATTTAGCTCTCTAGGGTAATATTCCAAACTTATTTTGATGTTTAATGTCGCTTTTCTGAAGAGTCGAGTACCCGGAAGATATTCTCCAGTCCTTAAAAGAGGAGTCGTGCGCAATATTTACAATAACAAGGATATATTTGTATATCGGGGAGAGCAGGGATAATATATGTGAAGGAGGTTAATCTCTTTTTTGTGGGCTTACAGTTATTCAGGTGATTTGTGTGGTCTAGAATTATTTTCTGTAAGGCTTTAAACTTGATAATTAACTTCGATCTACTATTGGGTATAAGGCGTTTGATAATAAGTTACTTCTTTACGGTAATTTGTTATTACTGTAATATTACTCATACTAGCCATATATTACAACTATTAACCTATAAAGTTAATCTTGTGCGCCCCAAAACCGGCTCCCCCTAGCTATTTTGACAAATATTAGTATGATAACATTAAATTGGGCTTTTTTGGTGAGTAAAACGAGTCAAACCGATCCGAATATACGTCGGTATTGTTATAGTAGAGAGGGGCTAAAGTTCGAATCGTTTTGAGGGCTCTTAACAACGTGAACAGCTCTTGACTCATAATTTTCGAAATCAAACTGATGGTGATATGTGATTGCATATAGTGTACACAGGATATGCATTTTAACAGGGCATAGCAATAATTGGAGGTGAATTAGTAATGTTTTTGCTATTTGGTGGGATGAACGGGTGGAGGGTATAAATTGAGGTTTGTTGGTTGACGGAAGTGAGTTCAGAGGAAGTAAACGTTGTAGATGGAGAGGTTATGTTATTGAAGTGGTTGATACAGTGAAACATATTTAGTATGCTTCTCTGTACTATGACCCTGGATAGTATGATTCATGACATTTTCTTTATAACCCTTTTTGAGCGTTCTTTGTATTACAACTCTTATGAAAAGTGACCTGGGTATGACACCCTCGTTATAGTGGCACTTTGGTTTAGTCTCTTGAGTGTCATACTAGAGGGTTGACTGTATTTTTTATAATGAGATAATAGAAAGCCTTTGAAAGTGATTTTTTTTCTTTTTCTAGAGAAGATGTAGCATTTTAAATGTGTTTTGTGTGCTGACTAGGCCTGTAAAGGGACTGGGTCGGCCGAGTGGGTTTTCTTTCAAGTATAGGGCAGCTGACAGTATTTTCTTCTAATTTTTGTAATCTGGACTGTACTATATATTATGGGCCCTGACTCCTTTATTTTTTTCTCTTAATTTCAAAATAAAATGAATTTTTTTGTCTGTAATATAATTTATTATTTAATTCATAACGTAAAGAAACTAATTGGGTCGACAGTCTTGATCTTTATTGTTGTATATTAAGCGCTTCTGATCTTCTATTCGTGTTCATTTTAAGTTTTGTTAAGAACTTGACTTGTTTTATAGTTATCAAGTTGCTAACAATTGTAAAAAAGAGTTAAATTGATATGCTGTGTGAGACGAAATTGAAGGGACATAGTATCTGGATTGTGCCTACGAATGAGGTAATTTTATTTTGAAAAAATTGCTTGGGTTTGTTAAAATTACGGTAATGATAAATTTTGCCTATAAGCTGCAAAGCCTTGATCTTATAGTTTCAAACTTATATTTTTTTCAATTAAAAAATGGCGGTTTTAATGAAAAAAATCTATATAACTTAATATGAACCAATACCTTTAGAAAACCTACGTAAAATATACTGCTTTTTACAAATTGTATAAGTATTCTTAAGAAAAGTAGTATAAATGGTAGTGAGAACAATATAGAGACGTCTGAATAGGTAACACAAGAGTAACCGCCAAGTACAATAACTATAGAGTTCTCTTCTGTTTGCATGATAAAATCACAAGGGCTGCGGTATTTGTTTAGTATTATCACAAACAAACTTTTCGAAATCGTTTAAAGTTTGATAAATTGTTTTATGTATAACATCATTTTGTCAAGGGTAACAACTTTTGTTAGTGGTCATAATTTTTAATTTAGAAGGGTAATATTTTGATCAAAAAGTACGTAGAAGCTGTTTCGTATGACTTTTGTTTACTTTTGGAATTTCTTTTAAAACAAAGTTTTTTGTCTTATTTTAGGTAATAAAGTTTTCAATTTTATTGCTATTACCAATGTAAAATATAGTTAAGATGACATACGCTGTACAATATAGTTAAGAATCGATTTTTGTATGGAATTCGATAGAAAAATGTTTGTGAAATGAGAAAACAATGAATCAAGGAACGATATTATACACAGGGAATTTGAATACAAAACGAAATCGATTTAAATTCTTTGTTTCAGGCCGATTTCAACAAGAGAATGGAGTCGAAGAACGAGAAGATCAACGACATTCAGCAACAGATATTGGAGGTGAAGACGGTGATGAGCGACAATGTCGCGAGAGTTTTGGAGCGCGGAGATCGCTTGGACAATCTGGACACAAGGGCCGAGGCGCTGCAGCAATCGGTAAGGTTAATGTTGAGTGGGGCTATGAATAATAGATTTTTGGGTTTTGCGGTACCTAAAAATATGTTTTATTACCAGTACCGTAGTTTACGGAGCATGTCCGCAATATCAGAATGTGTTGATGGTGAAGTTTTTTAAATTTTAGAGTGAAAACTTCAAAACGACGGCGCATAGAGTTCAGCGGAGTATGTGTATGAAGAATCTGAAGTGGACGATAATTTTGAGTATTGTATCCGTTTTACTGGTGATACTGGTCGTGTATTTGATACTGCGTTCAGCCGGTGTACTGTAATCTCGCGATCTTGTACAAAGTTTTTATTTTTTAAATAAATTTTATTTTTATAGTATTCTAGCTATGGTATCATTAGAAAAGCTTGTGGGGGTTGCTTTTTAATATTTTCTTTTTTTTGCTTTATGTTGTCGCGCCTTACATGTTATTTTAGTTTTTTACATTTTTTGGTGCTTTTGATACTCTTTATCTGTTCTTCACTTTTAATTGAAGTCTGATACTTACATTTCGCTTGTGGAAGGCGTGATATCTAAATGTAGCTTTTTTGAAGGTCTAATACCTACATATAGCTTTTGAATGTATAATATAACTCTGAAGACACCAAAAAGCTGAAATTTACTGTTTTTGTCCAATTTCGCCTTTAACACCACCCTTTTCACACTTCAAATCCGCTGAAACACTTTCCTTGGCCACACAAACATGTAGGGCTAATACGCATGATGTGTGTGTGGATTTGTTAACTTCCCTTCGTATTTGTTCGTCGACTCGTTAGGCCCTGAAGGCACGATGATTAAAAGGAAATGGGGTTTCCTGGCCGTGAAAGAAAGACAAAGATGTTCATTTGATCTTCTTCGTTTTGTTACATTCTGCACTTCTCATCCTCGGCTAGGGTTCGCAAAGGTTTTTTGGCATCTGGAGAAGGGTTTCAGTTCTTTGGGAGCGTTTCAGACTATATATCGCACGGTTTTTTTGGAAAAATTGAATTTTTAGATTTAAAATGTTTTTGAAGAAAGTTTTTGGCAGAAAAAAGTTATTTTCATAAAGGAAAGTTTAAAAAAAATAAATTTTTTTGGCCAAATAAACATATGTTTCTCCTCTCTAATCCTGAACTCTTGAACCCAACATCAGCTACTTAAACTTGCGATGTTCGCGCCTTATTTGTAAGCGATGCGCGTCTCGTGACGCCATCCTGAGCCCATAAATGGAATACCGCGACTCGGTTTCCGGCCTCACAAAATGATGAGTGCCATTATGGCTGGCTTTCCTCCTGCCTTTCCACCCGCGCCTTCTTCTTTTGTGAAATGACTTTGGAAACATTTTTGTGGCCCAAAAACGGCCTCCCCCCCCCCTCCCCCCCCCCGCGCTCTGTGGAATAAAGCCGCGGCCGAAGGGGAAGGGAGCGGCCCGAAAGGCCGGTACCAATTTTTAGTAGATGCGGTTTTTTTGCATGCGACTTTTATCGTTTTGCCTTTTTCTTCCAGTTCCCATTTCACTCTTGGCCTTTCTCTCCTCTTTCTGGCTACTTATCAGCGCTTAATGGGCTACTTTCATATCCAGGATGGGTTACTTTGGTTGGTAATTGACTTGAGCTTTATTTATGTCTGGCTAGGGTTATTTAGTTTGGTTTTATTTGGGTATGTTTAGCAATGAGGTGGTTGGAAGTGGGTAGTGTCTTGGACTATAAAAACATAGATTTTGGGCGGGGTAACTTTTGAAACGGTTTAATTTTGTGTAGATTAGCTTGTAGTAAGCGTGTTTTTACAAAAAAATATATTTTTTTAATTCATACTCTGGTAAGCCAATTGTTTGACTTTTTGAAAGTTACCTTTAAGTATTCAAGTACGCATGATTTTGGTAAAACACCTGTACTGCTTATACCTATTAAAATATGAATGACTATTTTAAGTTTTGGCATTTACAATGTCATGAATATTACTCACACTTTTACTTTTTTTTAAATTTTGTTTATTCTGGACAAGTAAATTCTTTCAAAAATTTTTTTTTCTAAAACCAAATTTTAATATTATTTCCTGTTTTGTTTGATATCACTGCCATTTCTATTCTAATTATAAAATGTTTTTGACTCTGACTATTTTCTCTATATTATAGTTTATATGATGTTATGGTAAATTTTTGAATGTTTAGTAACTGTAGTGTACGTGATGCATAAGACTATGTAAGTTCTATGACTGGTCGAACGTGAATGTGTGGGAAAGTTTTGTTTGTTTCTGGGCTGATTGGACTAGCCATATAATTAGTTTTTTCCTATAAATTGTTTGGAGACTTACTAACGCCATCTTGGTAACATTTATACATAGTATGTCTCAAATCAAAGGTATTTTTTGGTTTCATGTTGCCACTTTTACTACAATTTTTAGTTAAAAAAATTTTTATTTTTTGAAAATTAATTGATAAGGTAAGAGACCTACATATGTATATTTTTTTAAATGCAGTACCCCTAGTTTTAGCGATTATTGGGTTTGGAATTTGTCTTGTAGCTACTTAAAACAGTACTTTAACAGTACTTGCAAACTGAGAAGTGGAAGAGAATGTGACTTGACGTCAGTCGTCTTGGATTCTCACTTTCTCATGCTTTTGAATATTTAAATTTTGTGGTATTGTATGTCGAGGGGTGGTAGTACAAAGATTGTCGCTTTGATGACGAATACCTAAAGGCTATTTTCAGTACGTTAATATAAACTTCTGTTGGTACTATTTTTTGAAATTTTTGGTACTAATTTTGTTTTTTTTAGTACTAGTTGGTTATTCACATAATTCTGTGCCTCCTAACTCCGAAAATTTTCTTTCAGAGAGGGCACAGAATATTTGAAAAATCTAATATTTTCTATGTTTAGTGTAAGATAATGGCTGAATTTTGAGAAAAACAGAAATTCAAACTTTTTGAAAATATTTGGCACAATTTGCCTCGAGGACAGAAAGATTGTTTATTCAAAGGAAAAAACAAAAAATAATGTTGTGAAAACCACAAATGACTGCTGTTATTTTGTCCATCAAAACCCTACTTTTAACTAATTTTACAATCTTTCACTTTTTTCGACCGGTATTTTGTAAAATACGTATTTGAAGGTTTAGCTCTGGCATTGTACTATTGGCTTAAAAAATTTTAATTTACTATAAATTTAAATTTTTTACAAAGAAAATCTTGTTAAAAATCATAATTTATGAGTTTTTACTACACTATTGAACATAGCAAACCTAACGCACTCTTGAAATACGATGCCAATTTTATATTTTTGGAATTTTTTATTTTGGAAGATGTCACGAAAAGTGTGTGTGGTATATAATTCTTCTCTGGGCGAGTTGTTGTAAACAAATATTCGCGAAAGGATATGGTTTTTGATTACAATAGTTGTTATTGTCAGCCGGTTTGATTACTGTACTTTTTTGATTTTAAAAGGGGTAGCTTTTGTAGGTATATGTAGAGGTACAGATACTAGTACGTTTAACTGTCTTAGCTATTAGTTTTTGCAAGAGTACTAACTTTTTTCATGTATAATATAAACTGCAGGGATCAGAAAGTGGCTGGAACATAGCTTTTTGTCAATTTTTATAGCTTGATAGGGTAAAATTGTTAAAATTTGTCTTAGGAAATGGCTAGAAAACTACTTTGTTATACTTTAATTCTGAATTTGTATCTTTTTTAATAAGAACCAGAACCAAGACAATACTATTATTGGCTTACAATTACCTCCCCCTCGCCCTATCTTAACTCTGGCTGCTTCGGCTGTAAATAACCATCTACTCTGCAGTAATCACCACAACACGGAACTAACTCTGCCAAAACTTTTGAAACAAAAAGTCGGTTTTCGTTTAATTGGCTTTCGACCAGTTTGGGACAAAAAAGACGACCGGGCAGGGTAAATACGACAAGAGCTCTTAGTGAATCGGACAATAGGATTCTGAGGAACGATGAATGTAATGAATGGCAGTGAGCGTGCCGCCGGCGGAGGGCGGGCCCGAGAAAGAGCGCGGACAAGAAGACACAACAGATATACTGATGGTCTGTTGTTGTTCTGTCCCCGTCGTTCGCGCCACTGTGTCTTCTTTATTTGTCCATCGAAATACTTACTCTGTAGTTCTTCGTATTCGAGTTACAATCGATAATCGCTTTACAATGCCGGTCGTATGATGTTGCGTATGATATTGTGAGATTGGGTATGCTGTAGTAGGATAGGTCATCGTTTTGTTTAAGAGTGAGGTTGGGCGGTGTTTTTGGAGGATTAAGGTTTGTGAGGGGTACACTGGGCATCGGATATTATACTTGGCAGGCTTGGTTTGAAAATCTTGGTTTCTTAGCTTTTTGAATTTGATATGGCAACTTCAGTTGCTTTAGTCAATGCAGTTATTACTACTTCTTATATTGCTTATTCAGTCTTTTTTGATTATCTATTAAATCTACAGAAATTTGAATACAATCTCAATTCTAAATCGTTCCCAGTTTTCTTATAAATCAGATATTTTGATTAGAACCCTAATGGCAACATGTTAAAATGTTTATATTATCTATATTGATTTAAACATATGATTCTTTGGCACCTGTGGATTGGTTTTGAATTTCAACCAGTTTAAAGTTTTAAAATTGATTAGATTTTGACTTTTCAAATTTTGAACAGCATTTGTTTTTTTACCTTTAGAGTCATCATGCTACTTTCTTTCAAAATATTCAGTGTTATATACTGAAAGATGTTTTACGAAATAGGGCATTGCTTTTTGTATTGTTGTTTAAGAAAGTGTATAATATAATCTAAAGGTGTCAAACTGGTCTCAATCAAAGTTTAAGACGTGTTTCTTTGCAATTTTATTATGTCGTTTTTATAGTATAAATGATTTATACGGCAAAATCTTGGTTAAGGTCATACTGGAGGTGTTACTTGAACAAACGTTCTATAATTTACGTTTTAACGTAGAGTTACGTAGTCACAGCGTACTTTATAATTAGTTTGTAGTGTTTCAATAAACAAAAGTGGTGTTTCTTACTAATTTATAAACATTTTCTTGTAAAAATTGTTTGAATTTGAGTATTATGAGGCCAAACTTGGAATCACTTGAGAAAATTTATGTACAGTGAAACATCTTTATAACACCTTTGTTACTGTAACATTCTTTTTATTATAATATAGTTATAGTTTTTTTGACCGGTTTTTGTAATAGGCCCCCATGTGCCAAAAAGTACCTGGGTATTTTGCCACCCTGGTTATAAAGTCAGGTTTGGAACGGTCTTTTGAGTGTCATGCTGAAGAGTTTTGACTTTAGTTTCACTTTTGAATAGAGCATATAGTGTGTTTATATTTTTCTTTGTTTTTTTTTTGTATTTTCTAAAAACTGGCGTTGGTAAAATACGGTATGGCGTCTTTAAGACTTATTAAAAACTTGAGGGTTATATTGATAAATAATATTTTATTACTGACAGCCGGTTACAATAGCTGTAAGTTTGTTTAGGTTTATTGATGAACTAGACTTAAAAGGGGGCTCACTACACTTTGTCTGGCTCCGGGCCGAGCTGTGCCGGGTCGAAGTAATTTTGACAGAGGTCGGGCCGATCCGAAAACTTGGGCTTGGCCTGGATTCTTTACGGGTCTATGCAGAACACATTTCTTAAACATTTAAAGATTTAATATTATTTATATAAGTTGTAGTAGTTATCAATCTTCTATCCCTTCCTCTTCCCCTCCTCTCTTCCAAATTGCCTTAAACTGATTTCTGAGACCGGAGCTTCTTGTTTTGGTGACCTTTTATTGTTTCTGTCATTGTGACGCGCTTCCGTAGTGCCAAAAATAGAAATTGGTGGGTTAAGTTTGGGGCCTTAAGTAATTATTCTGATGACTTTGTTATGCGAGCTACAATGCGTTTGGAGTGTTTACAGGGCCAGTATTTACATTCATGTGTCTGGATGTTAATGAAGAGTATGGGTGGAGGAGGGGTAGTTATGCTGCAAATGGGACTGTTTTATAGAAACTTTAAAAAAGGTTGGTTGTACTGTACGGTTTGTGTGCTTTAAAATGTTATAAATAGTAAGATGCGATAAACCTTTAAATGTTACAGTAGGCTTTAGAATAAGCTTTTAGATGTTACAGTAGGCGCTAATGATTTTAGACAGCTATGAAGTAAGCTTCAACTTCTTAAATTGCTACTTGACAAGACTCAAAGTGTTATGCTAGACCACAGAAAGCGCTACAATGTTACAGTAAAGCCTTCTGTGATTAAAGTTTTACAGTAATATAGCTTTACAGTAGAGCCCAATAAAACCTAATCATATTCCCCTTTCCTACGCACTTTGGACGTCAAAAATAGCCGGAATATTGTGATGTAAATAGCTTGAAACCAGTGTAGACTACACATATTTATATGGTCGCACAAGATGGGCAGAGGAAGCGTCCAAATCTAATTTTTGTGACTGCATTTTGCCTCTTTCGGCCGCTTTTTGTCATCAGAAGAAGAGACCATCTACAATGTTATAAAGGGTTATGGCTTAAATTTCCTCATTTCTCTCATCAAATCTGACGTCCACCGAATGTGCTTCTTTTATGCAAATTCAAGGGTTTTGAAGGGCATTTTGGGGGTTTTCGTTTTTTAAATATTTAAATACTGGAGAACTCTTGTATAACAAACGTTGGAACTTCTGCATTTCGTACTTCTTTATAATGTAAATCGTGTATAACGAACAGCTTTTTTTAAATCTCTGTCCAGCTTTACCCAGTGCATTTAAAACTCATATGTATCAAAACCCTTTTATAACGAAAAAATTTAAAACTTTTGAGCGATTTGTTATACCGGAGTTCTACTGTTTAACAAGCATTCCCTATAACGAACAACTTTTAAATTCGACTTGTTATATAGAGGTTACAATGCATTGAATTTTTACATTTAAGTAGATATAGTGATGGTTGGGGGCTTTCTGGTGCTTTTGAATCAACACTCAAATTTCTTCAAAAATATTGGTTTTGAGGGGAGGAAGAGCCGATTTTTTAAATTACTGTATTCATCGTACTTTTCAAAATATTGTAGTACACAATTGGATGAACATGATTTCTTATTACTCTTTTTTATTTAAAGATTTTAAATTTTCACAGTAATAAAATCTATTTTCCTCATTAAAAATGACAGTAAGTTGTTATATTTTGCTATATAACGTGTGTTGTGCACAATATTTGCACAATTTTCTATTTTTAAATTGTATTTTATGAAGTTTTGAAGAGTTTTTCAATTGAAAGGTGTTGTAAAATTGTGAAATTTATCGTAGTTTAGAATAATATTATTGTAAATGCATTGAAAATACATTTTTTTTTACATTTACATGTTATTGTGGTTTTACTGTTACTAAGTTACAACTTAAGGTTTTATTTTGTATTGTATACAACTTTACTCTACATTTATCTTACTTTACATTACCGTACCATACGTACCTAAACTTTACATCCATATTTACTGTATACTATTAAACGTACTGTATATTATTGTACATACGGTTATTTAACGCGTCGCTGTCTCCTCCATGTCACTCTTACTCCAACATAACTTTACCTACCTTCAGATGGCCGCCATTCGAAAGAAGTTGGTCATTGTGGGTGATGGAGCCTGTGGTAAGACCTGTCTCTTGATTGTGTTCAGTAAAGACCAGTTCCCCGATGTATATGTGCCTACAGTATTCGAAAACTACGTCGCCGACACAGAAGTGGACGGAAAGCAGGTACGGTGCATTACCATGGTATTTTATCGTATTTTAGGTGGAATTGGCATTGTGGGATACGGCCGGCCAAGAGGACTACGACAGGCTACGGCCGTTGAGTTACCCGGATACGGATGTGATTCTGATGTGCTTCTCCATTGACTCACCAGATTCACTCGAGAACATACCAGAGAAGTGGACACAAGAGGTATGTCATTTTGACATATAGGGGGGATAAAATAACATTTTTTGAACAAAAAAGTTAATTAACATCGTATTTTAGGTTTTTCCAAACAAAACTTTAACTTTTTAAGTAAACTTATGTGTCGCAGGCTGCATTTATATGGGCGCAACCTGCCAAAAACAATTTTTTTCAAAAATTTAAAATAATTTGTTTAGGTACGACATTTCTGCCCTGAGGTACCAATCATCCTGGTCGGCAACAAGAAAGATATCAGGCAAGACGAGGAGGCGGTCAGAGAGATGAAGAAAGTGAATCAGGGACCCATCAGTATGGAGGATGGTCAGAAAATGGCTCAACAAATCGGTGCCTACGCTTATCTAGAATGTTCCGCCAAAACCAAAGAGGTCAGTACTATATAGTTTTATACATTTGCAACCATGGTACTACAATTAGGCAGCAGGTTGAGCTTTGTGGGGGGGGTAGAGATTATGGCAGGTGGTGCTATATTTAATGACTGTCTAATGTTATTAGGTTGTTCAAATAATTCTGTGCTCCTAAACTCGAAAATTTACTTTGAGTGAGGGCACAGAATTATTTGGACAACCTAATACTGATGTGCAACCATGGTATCAGGATTAGGTAGCGGGCTAAATTTTGATGGAGGGGGAGGGGTGGTAAAGGAATTGTGAGTACTAAATGTTATATCTTATGACTGTATACCTAATGTTATTAGATTGTTCAAATAATTCCGTGCCACTCAAAGAAAATTTTTGAGGTTAAGGGGCACAGGATTATTTGAACAACCTATTGTATGGTATTTAGTAAATATAGATGATCTTCTGTATAATGAACAAATTTAAAACCTTTGTCCAATTAGTAGTACATAACTTTTGCTGTAGTACTACTTCGTACTATAACGTTATAATGTAGTTACTTTAGGGTGTAAAAGAAGTTTTCGAAACAGCGACACGAGCCGCGTTGATGACAAAGAAAAAGCAGACTGGAAAGTGTAAAATACTGTGAATCGTGATATATTCGTATATATTACTCGTGCGCTCTTGTTAGTATATTATGCATATATTTTATACATGTGGGCTTGGTATGACAGTTAAAATAGCATGGTATTATACTTAATATGGTATCTTTATACGATTGATTGTCCGAAGGTGCTAGTACGTTAAGCTACAATATATACCGTATATCTCTACGGTATATATCTGTCAGTATTATTTTGTAGTATTTTGATCAATGTAAATCTAAGAGAACACTTTTACATTGATAATACTATCAAATGGTATGTCAATGTCAAGTTCACCACATGCATAATATAAACCTTGATCTTGTTGTCTTTGTCTCATCGAAAGCTTGCTTACAGTCTCGTTTCGTCTAGGTAATAAGTCTTTTACAGTATGCCAAATCGTCTTACCACATTATTCATATGTTCTTACTCATTCTACTCTATTTATTACATTAACCATGTTTACTGTAATTTTGTTCTTAAATAAAGTTTAAATCTGAAGGTATGGTATTGTGGTCATACGACATGGCTGTTGTATTATAGTATATCTTATGTTACATTAGGCTTTTTATTGTTATTCATATATAAAATGTTTTGTAAAATACGATCGTGGAGTCATCTACTTCGAGTTCAAGTACTTAAAACTACAAAAAGTTAAGGTTATATTGTAGTAGGTATTAAAAAAACTTAATTGACACTACTTTCATATCACTTAAAACACAAAAAAAATGTTTTTTGCAAAGTAATTGAATAAGTTGATATACCTAAAAATCTTTTTATACCCAAAACCTCTATGTCGTTTAAACCAGCCGGCTGGCTTAAAAAAGTATTTTCGATTTAAATTTGGCGCCAAAATCGGAAGCATCGACATCCTTAAAGTACATTAAGGTTGTTGTTTACTATTATAGTTATTTCCAGTTTTCTAAAATACGAAATAAACAAAAAAACTTTGTTTATTTGAGGGTTTAAAGCCGAGAGTAAACTTACTTTTAACTGCGACAAATTGTTATATTCTTTTTTAAAATTAATTTTAAAATATTAGGTCGCTCAAATAATTCTGTGCCCTATAACTTTTAAAATTTGCTTTGAGAAGGAGCACAGAACTAGTTGAACAACCTGATAGTAAAAAATATGAACTTAATTGAGCAAGTCATCTTTATAACGCAACCTACCACCCCCACCTTATTTACTTTATATTACCCTTTGTCAATCACATGGCCCACTTGAAATCTATAAACCAACCGCTTAAAAGACTGTATAAACCTTTTTTATTCAAAAACCTTGAAGATGACTTTTTCGAAACTCTTGGAGCCGGCTGGCAAACAAAAAACCTTTTATTTACATGGTTAATATCAGCGTGACTCACGTTTATTCAGCTCCAAAAATTAAAGTTTTTTGATTTCTGATCAGTCGATAGATAACATGGCTTGTTTCGAGGGTAAGCGGGTTAGATTAGGTATGAGTTTACGTGTTTTGAATTGAAATTTACCGGTTTTTGAAATCGGAAGTATCCTATATTATAGTATGTTTATGTACTTTTAATTGATATTTCGATTTGAATCTTTCACTACCCTACCCTACCCTACCCTACCCTACCCTACCCTACCCTACCCTACCCTACCCTACCCTACCCTACCCTATCCTACCCTACTCTATCTTAATATTATATATATATTATATTATAGCTTACTCATTATACCTTTAGATCTATCGTATGATATACTCTAAGACTTATGTCAATATAATGTTACACAAACCAAATCATCGCGCTTTTCGGTCCCAAGCATCATTTCCCAAAACATTACTTCGAAAATGTTGAAATCTGCATAATATTATTGTTTTGTTTCTTTTTTGCGACTTTTTCAAGAATCAGGAGTAAACAAAGGAAGTCTTTGGCGACATAAACATTACTTTTAATCATCTTCCTTCCAGGTTTTTGTACAGTTTTCGCAATTTTAATTTTTTACCTATTTTTATCGCAATAAAATTTTCAAAAGTAAAAATTGTTTAGCTAAGACTACCTTGTTTGCCTGATGTTATTCTAAAGGTTAATATACATTTATAGACTCATAACTTCTAGACCATTTATTTCACAATACAAACAGAGGAGAGGCTACAACGAAGCTATAAATCCATATTTTATGCTTTGTCGAACCTTGTTTTTTCAAAATTCATTATAATATTGTAGGCCCTTTATAAAACTATGTTATCTACTTGATATTGTAAAAGTTCAGCCATTTATAACTCCTTTTTACCCTAGAAAACACGTTCCAAACCACAAAATATAGCTCAAAAATAACGGTGATCGACCTTTAAATCCCATACTGTTCTGATTAGCATAAAAACCGAACTTTGGCAGTAGTTTGAGTCTGCTTCGACACAATTATATAGCCTTCTCAGTGTAATATCACGGATTTGCATATAAAACACATTAATATCCGAATCAAAAATTACGTTTTATCAAAACGAATTCGATTATTTTACACATTTTGATACCTTTTTGTTGTCTACGCTGTTTTTTACTGTAAATAGCTATTTTTAAAAAATTTTTTGAATTTACTGCACAGTGCAAAGAATAAAACTTTGTTCTGCACCGTGCAGGTAAAGAAATTTGAAGATATAGAATACATTTTCAAAATAGTTTTGAAATATTATGAAATTCCAAAAATTATGTAAATTTTTTGTTTTTTGCAGCGAAATGTCACTTTTATTAAAATACCAAGTGTCACTATTGATTTTTTTAACCACTAATTCTTCGATGAAATTTTGCGTAAAACAAGATAATTCAGCCTTTTATAATTATTTTTACGATTGTTAAATATTTTTCAATAGTTTTTTACTTATTTTCTCATTAATTTTACCTTAAGGACAAAATGAAGGCGGCTCAGGACAGTTACCGCCTTGTAAACGACAGATCCGTGGATAACATAACATTACACTTGCTCTACCAACCCCATTCCATCAGCATTCTACTTGCTTTAGCTGTTTATTCGATCTACAATGCTTTTCTGTTGTAAGTTTTTATTGTTTTTGGCATGAACAACATCGAAAACTATATTTACTATATTGTTTTAGACAATTTCATGGCTTTTTAACTAAACTTTTGGGTTTTTATAACTTTAAAACTATTTTTGATAATTTAATGTCTAAATATATTAAAAATAATGTTACAGACAAGATTCCCAATCAGATCAGAACATATTTTCTGGAGTAAAAGCAACAATAATATTGTTCTTGTTTATCAGTGCTTTCATCTCACCTAATGGTCCCTTTATCAGACCTCATCCTGTAGTATGGAGGATCGTGTTTGGAGTGAGTGTACTATATGCGTTGTTGTTGCAATTGACTTTGTTTCAAAGCTTTGACGATGTAAAGAAAGTTTTGACATGGCTAGATCCAGATGGTTTGAGTAAACGGAAAATTGAGGAAACGGTAGGTTACTGTAGTTCTTATAGAGTCTTTTAGCATATTTGTTGAATTTTTTTTTTATTCTGATCAAAAAAATGTTTAAATTGATAATATTTTACTGTAATCACATAGAAATTACAGTATCTCTTACAAACCCTTCAAATTACAGTAACTTTAGTCGTACGCCGAAGCCTGTTGGGACATTACTCTTGATCGCATTTTGGCATCTGTGGACTTCTTTGTTGTCGCTCACTTTGTTGGATGGGTAATGAAGGCTCTACTCATCAGACATACCATAATATGTTGGTATATCAGCATTTTGTGGGAACTTACCGAGCTCTTCTTTGGCCATGTTCTGCCAAACTTTAGAGAATGTTGGTGGGATGCTATATTGCTCGACATTCTACTCTGTAATGGACTGGGTATCTACTGTGGCATTAAATTATGCAAATTTTTGGAATTCCACGAATTTCATTGGGAAAGCATCAAGTAAGGAACTCAATATATTAAGGGTTTTTAATGGTGCAGTAGAGGTTAGTATAAGGTGTAATAGACAATAAACTTCATTTCTAGAGAGATCCAGACAGCTGGAGGCAAAATGCGACGTGTAGTACTTCAGTTTACTCCAGAAAGCTGGATCCGAGTCGATTGGTTCAACAACAGAAGTCTGCGACGATGTGGAGCGATATTCTTGTTTATTATGTTCTGGTTGTTGGCTGAGCTGAACACCTTCTTCTTGAAGAGCATAGTTGTCATCGATGTACAACATCCATTAGTTACTGCACGGTTGGTATTGATCTGTTTTATCTCTGCACCTACCATAAGGTAAGAAAAAGGTTACTGTAATTACGTTTTACTGTATTTATCTTTGCATTTTGAAAATTAAGTTGTGATAAGTTTTTAAAACTTTTTCTATTATATAGTTTAATCTGACCTTGTTATAGGCAATGGTACTTGTTTGTGACAGACCCACGAACAACTAGAATTGGAATGCAGACATGGACGTTTGCTTTGGTCTGCATTCTGGAGTTGGCAATTTGCATAAAGTTTGGCAGAAAAACTTTTGAATCTCTACAAATGCAGGCTCTTTTACTATGGATTGTTGTCGTGGTATGTTGTTTAGTCAGTAGACAACAGATCTGAAAAGGGCCCACTAGACCCGGGGTTCTTTACAGGTTTAGTAGGGAAGGATTGTGTTTATGAGTTGTTAATAATATCACCTGAAAAGGTTAAAAGTTCATGACCTCTTTATTATGGTTAATAAGCAAAAGTATGTTTTAGGTAATTGGAACAATAATTTGTGTGTGGATCTCTGTCAAATGGACATCGAATTCAGCTTCAGATGTAAGTTGAATCATATTGAAATCTACGAAGCTTTGAACTAGTTTTTAATAACCATTTGTTATACAATTAAATTCTGTTCCAGAAGACGCAACTAATCAAGGTTGGTGAAGAAACTCGACGGTTATACAAGTGTTCTAGTACTGACAACTTGGTCGCAGTCGAAAGTCAAAAAGCTTCGACCGAAAATTAAAAACGACTAATTTTAATATCTGTTAGGGCTTTAGCAACTCTGGAAAGATGTCTGTCTTTTCAGACAAAATATTTATAATATTAAATTTATCATTTCGTATCAGAAATATCAGGTAACTTACATTCTTTATCAATATAGTTCTTTATGAATACTTATTTAACAATATTGTTTAAAGTTTTAATGGATTTGTGTCATTTTTGGTATCATTTTAATTTTATGTCTCATTCCATATGATTTTTATATCCTATCTTTGGTCTTTCTCACGTTTTGTACATATTGTTATCGTTCAAGTGTAATATAATAATTGTTGCATAATAACTTTAATAAATTGTTTTTTTGTTATTTTAAAGTTGAAGTTAAAGTTTGTTATTATAAATACTATCTAAATATAAATACCTGTTTTTTGGCAAAGCTTTTTATTTTCATCACTATTCATTTGGTTTTACTGATGGATTTTTAATATAAACAAGATAAAGGTCAATCTTAATATACTTCAGTACCAAAGTTCCATAAGGCTTTAACGCAGATTCAGAACTAAAGCCGGAAATTTTAAATTAGGGAACTTTGTTTTTTACCTTTCTCGTTCACCTTTCTTATCATAAACATCTGATTTTCCCAAATCGTCTTGTGTCAAGTCTTTCTTTTTCCAAGGGAGAGACCTGTCTTGTGATAGAAAATATTTTTTCGTTAGTTTTACATAAATTACAGTTTTTTTTAATATTGAACTGGTTTTTACAGTTTTACTTTTTGACACATTTTTCTATCTGGTAAAAGATATTGTTTATCCAGGTCTTATTTACTTTATTTTTGCTATTTCTTACCTTGCAGTTATATTTTACAATAACTTCAGAATGTATTGTTCAATATACAATGCATTTTTTTATATGCACTTATAATGCCTTCTTATATAGAAAGTAATGTAATTAACATGCAACATAAATTATTAACTAATTTATTGGTTGCCAAGCACAACCTTGACAACTTGTTAAAGCTCGTTTAGCCCTCTGTCTCTTCAATTGTACTTTGTTGTTACACCTGCCAACTTTATGCTCTTTTAGGTTTGTATGTTTGTAATACGTTGTTAACCAAATGAATTTAATACTGGACATACGAAGACAAGAGTGCATATTATTATTTTATGAGTACGTAGTGTTATGTTAAAGATGTTTATAAAGACGAGGTGGTTTAACAGGTGGAAAAAGGGGGTTTCGACTAATTATATGTTGTGTTTGGTTGAGGAAGGAGTATTGAGTGTAAGGTTTTATATATTTTTTTTATTTTTGTTTCATATATAATAATGTAACTTTTTATACCTAAAATCTATAAAAGCAGACATTTGAAGTCTTTTATTTATTGGAATATTAATCCTTTACTCTGTAATTTGACGTACATATGCATACTATTACCTTGGAAACAAAAACAAACGAAAAAAACGAAATTTTTAATGCTTGGCTTTTTGGCTTTCTTAATATCACTGAACTATGTTACTTTTAAGGATTTAAACGTATTTTATAGTGGTTTTACACTATTATGTGCTGAACTTACTTTATTATGGTTTTACATTGCTTTATCTTAGTTTTACTTTATTACAATTTTAAATTATTATAATTACGACAAGTACTTTAACTTATTAAGACGGTTGTCAACACGTGTTACGTCAATAATATGTTGACAACGTTTGTTACTATGCTAACCAATTCTGAGACGTTTTTTGGAGCGGAATTTGAGAGTTAAACCGTTAATTTCAAAGTTATTTTCAAGTTTTTTGGTGTCATTTTTATGCCTTTAGGGCTTTTTTGGTTTTTACCTGTGGGATATGGTTGAAGGTACTATAATATAGTCTAATAGGGCGTGGCTTGGTTGAGGTTTTTATGGAATTTTAATTCTTTTTTTGGCCGTTATATGCAAAAAATGAAAGATAAAGGTATTTATAGATAAATTACTGACAATTACAATCGTTGTCGTAACGAAATTACTGCTTTTACAATTGTATTTGTCTGTGAATTTATTGAATTTTGCTTTTAATTCAAATCTTATACTCTAATTGTGTAGCTGCAGACTCCATTGGCTTTTGATTTAATTTCAGATGCACTTTTGTTTATTTGTTATATCACTGATCACTTACCATACAGTCAGCTGTAATATCAGGCAATAATAGCTTTACATTATATAATAGTAGTTTTAAAAGGGGCTTAAATGACTTTATAGTCAATAAACTATTTAAACTTGATTTCTGAAAGATAAACTTTATAGTTACTTGTATTATACTTAAGCTTGTAGTATTAGTCTTGTGATTAATAATAGCAGTCAATAATAGCCTTATAGTCAGCTATATTAACCTTGTAGTAATTTCTAAAACCCTATCAGTCGATCGAAACTAGAAGTTTGTATCGAACCTAACTACAACATATATTTAAAGTTTGTCGCGAGAGTTTTGGGTCTCCATTTAAGAGTCGCACAGTGCGCTTTCTCTTTTTTCACTTAAACACGAGACTCTCGACCTTTCCAATCAGGTAGTCAACAGACTTTCAGTTAAGTTATCAGAGCCACACAAAACACAGAAATATTTGCCTTTAGGGCATCCAAGGTGTTTGTGTTTTGAATCGATCTTTAAGCATTCTGTTGTAGTTGTTAACTTTTGGCAATGGGGTTTGTATCTTTCTAACTTCTAATGGTGTGTTTGGAAGTTCATTGATTTTAAAGTCATCGAATCTTGGTTGACGTTATCTTTTATTCGTCGTGTGTTTTGGGTTTATATAAAACGACAAAAGTTTAAGTTATTTATGGGTTTGAGTTGAGAAAGGAGTAGAAGTTGTAAGGTTTTTAAGGGCATCACCTCTACATTTTGTAGTAGAACTGTAATATATTACACATTTTACTTTAAAACAATCTTTTGATGCAGTGAGGCTCTTTTACCTTGACTTTTTGATATATATTAATATTTTTTGACAATATTTTATATTTTCCTAAATTTTAATATATAACTTTTATATAATACAAAGTAGAATGGTTACCAGACTTTGTTTATGCTTACTATAAGATGTTTTGATGATTTACTTAACTCTATAGGTTCTCTTTCTACACTAGCTTGCTCTACTCAGAGCTTGGATTGACCTTGATCTAAAAGTATATAACGTGATTTTATTATGTTGTTCACATAATTATGTGCTTTCTAACAACGAATTTTTTTTTGAGAAAGGGCACAGAATTATGTGAACAACTTAATAATAACCGTTCTTCTATTTTTTTTCAACATTCTACAAGTTTTTTGGTTCATTCCAAAGTCAAAATGAATGGTTTTGGTTTAAAATGATTAAAAGTGTTGATTAGAAGTGTACAGACGTGTTATAAGTGTCAAACCAATATGTTTGGAAAGGTCTCGGCTTAAACGGCAGAAAGTAATAGACAGTCGAATTCAAGGTCATCAGAGTAACGGGCTTTGAATCGAATTTAATTTTGTCTCGCTCAACAATTAATACCTTTTTTGACTTTTTTATTGCTTATGTTGCGACATTTTTTGATCGTATGAAAATGTCGTTTTGTTTGATTGTCGTTTTATATTGGGGGTATAATGTCATCACTTTTAAAATTTTTTATATTTTTTGAAAAAATTTTTCTGTGAAAAAAAATGTTATTCTATCCCTTTCTATTTATCTCTTTAAAATAATCTTGCTTGCCTGGCATCTCATACGAATAAAACATCTTTTTTTATCACTTTAATAAAGTATGTTGTATTATAGTAGGTGTCAATTCAGCTAATCTTTTGTAATCAAAATTGTGTAGCCAGATCAAAGGGTCAAGTAGTCAATGATTTGGTACTTAAATTAATATTTATTGACTTTATAAATTGTTGATAACTATAATTCATACATTTTTAATAACTACATGTTTACAATTGACTGTATTTCGACTTCTGTTTACGTCATGACCTGGATCCTCGAGTTGAGTGGGAGCGGTGATAAGATAACAGATGCTGTTCGAGGGGGTTAAATACAGCTTTAACTCCTTGCAAAAACACTTTTTTTGGTAGACTTTTGTAGTTTTGTTCATTTGAATGGTTTTTCATGATAAGGTACTGTAATTTGATTTTTACTATCCTTCACCTACTTCTTACTAAACACTGCTATAACTTAATGTAACATTACTGTTTTTGGTTTCTGCTACAAGTAACGTATTCTGTTTCAACTGAGGTTTGTAGGCATAGCAGACGTTTGTTTACTCAAGCGATCAGATTCTTTTTGCGACAAAATTATTCGAATTTGATATTTTTGGCCCAAAAGTCTATTACAACATGCAGCTTCTTGGTATTGTAGAGTTTAATATAATATAGACGGTGGGCTGAAGTGACGTAAATCTCGATCCTAGTCCAGGATGTTTAAAGTGACTAAAGGGGATGGGGTGCGATTGGGAAAGGGTAATATGTTTTTGAAGAAATTTATGGAAAATGACTTTAAAAATATGATTTTAAAGTGAAAAATGGAGTGTTTTGAAGAAATCTATAGGGTGGTAATATGTTTATTTTTATTTTGTTGTAGTGTTTTGCATGTATTTTGGGATATATATTTCATAAACGTGACTCAAGGTATTTGGAAAATGGAGAAATTTGAATTTCGTTGGCCACGTATATAATTAATGAAGGCCGTATGCTGAAAGAAGACAGAATCATTTTAGTAGTGTGTATAATTTGATGATTTTTCATAGGGTTTTGTTGATTAATTTAAATTTTAACGGTACTTTTTTTGGTTAAAACGTATGTAGAAATCAACATTGTCAATGATCAAGCTATGTAAATTCTTGTAAAGTTCTAAAGCATTATCATCATGATGATACCTATCAATAGTCTTTTTTGATAACAGTAAAGTTGACTTGCTTTAATCGTATTTGAAGCGGAATCGAATGGTTGATAACAGTTTTATAATGTTTTTCGAAAAGTTTGTTTCTAACCAACGTTCACTTTCGTAATTGCAATGTTTTGGCGTTTGTTTGGTCTGTGGGAGTTGGCGTGGGTAATTTCTGTGTTATAATCTTGTCAGAAGGGTATGGAAGGAGTATAACCTGTTGGGGGAATGTTACTTTAGTACAATTTATGCATGGAAATGTTGTGTTTTAATAAGACAATGGAGATGCTACCTGTTTCGTATGTTGTTCATAGTAAAAATCTACAGTTTTGATTTTTATTAGCTTGTTCAAATAGTTTTGTGTTCTTTTTCAAACCAACTTTTTGGTGTTAGGGAGCACAGAATTATTTGAAAAACTTAATATTTTATAAAATGGCATATTTCCTATATTTCTTTTGTATTTTACAAAATTTAGCTAGTTAATTGTTATTGTCAAGTTTTAAGGAATTATAAAAGTGTAGAGGCTTCAACTGTCTCTGCTTGTAATGTGATGTACTTTAAAGTCAGTTGAAGCAAAGATCACATACGATAAAGAAAGTTGGATTAAACTTACTTCCTAGTACATTAGCAGTAGTTAGCTTGTCATTTCAACATGTTAATGGTAAGTATTAGTGAAAAGTATATAGTATACTAATTTAGTGTTATGGTATATAATACGTAGATGATTTATTGAGAGTCACGTTTAACATAAGTGGTTTTGGTATTCATATAGGTAAAAGTATAATAACAGAAGGATAGGTTATGGTAATAGGGAGGGTAGGGAAGGGCGAGATTGGGTAGGGTAGGATAATGAAGAGTAACCCACAGTCATCTGTAGAGTAGGATATATAATTGACCTGAATTTTAAATAACTTACAATACATAAACTTTGACTACCACGTCTGGCAATGTAACTTCCAATTTGACTATTTCCTTGTAAAAAGATAATTGGCAAAGAGGAAAGTCTCTTATCATCAAACGTCTAATCAGTACTGCTCGCTTGTTGCCTTTTGAAGGCTTATACCCTAGTTTTAGACATTTTGACAGTCATAGTCTGTGTTGTGTGCTTTTGAATTATTCAAATTTGCTTCCGTTATTTAAAATTATTTTTAAAAGCTGTAGACAACACGTGACGAACATTATATTAATAGTACTATTTTTACATACTAGACTTAGTACCTTTTTTACATTTTTCAAATTTTAAGAAAAAATTTGTATGCTTTTTAACATTGGTTGAGGTATCAAATAATATCATATGTACTACTACAAGATACAAGGATGACATTTTTGAAAAACTACATGAACTTTAGTCTCGATAAGATATATACGAGTGTATGTTTAGCTTTTTTGAAGTAACGTGGATATACTTTTGTTTCTTTTTTGTATTTTTTTTTGTTGCAGCGATTTAAAATGTCATTTTTATTTAAACATTTTAAAAAATGGATTTTTTTGTTTGAATTTCAATTTTTTTTGGTTTTTTAAAAATATGGTATCTATTTCTATATGACAGTCTTTATTATTGTCTGAGAACTTATGAATTTTAAACAGTAAGACAACGCTTACTGTGTAATTAGATTCCAGTAAAGTACAAGGTAAAAGTAATGTGATAGGAGTTAATTACTACTCGAAATGTAATTGTAGTCCTGTAGTATGTCTGCTTTACTATAACTTGTTGTGTTTGTATGCGGTACTAATGTAAAGATATGTCAGTTCTTTGTCGTGGTAAAGTAAGGACAATGTTGCGTTTTGTATCTACTATAGCCTTTTACCTACTATTTTACATGTCGGTTCTTGGGTGATATCATTTGCCGTATGTTGGAATATAGATACTACTACCTTTACTTTTTGTTTGAAGATACTGCAAAAATTACTTTTGTATTTGAACAATAACAACAAAACTATGTGTTTAGTATACTGTACTAGTTTACTTTATTGTATAGTATAGTTTGTAGTTAGCTTATACGTTACATACGATGGTTTAAAGTATTTTATTTTACTGTGATGCAGGTGGAAATATAACGTACGTTGTATAAGATGCAACTGCAGAGTATCTTTACGATATATACTGTAACTTTATTTCTCTTTCTGTAAAGTATTTATTTTGACAATTCATTGCAATTGAAAACAAGTCATGTCATCGTATGTTATTTTGCACTTTTGTAAGTCGTCATATATATGTTGTAATGTTGAAAGCGGCAATCTTTTTCGTGTGTAAGCTCTTAATGTAATCATTTTAATTTTACAAGGAATTCGTGATGTTTGATACTATTATATCACGTGATTATTACTGGTGTAGACATGCATTTGGTATTAGACGTGCAATTATTGTACTATCAAAGTATATGACGGCTGTCTTTACTGTGCAGTATATTGTTTTTAAGTAATTTTGATTACTTTCTTTGTTTTATGTGGTTTAGGTATTTATTGGTGGGGTAGGATAATGTAATGTAGGGTCGAATGGAGTAGAATATAGGGTAAAGTAGGGTATAGTAAGGATAGGGTAGGATAGGGCAAAGTAAGGATACAGTAGTATAACTTATTATATGGACATACTACGGCGCTAAATCTAGTATAATATTATTTCAAAACTAAGTTTAAGCTTTCTTTTTGTAAAATTCTTTGCAAAACTTTAAACATTCATAGACAAGATTACTAGCAGTGATTGAAGACAGTTATCAATACATTTTAATGCGTTACCTTTTAAACGTGTACTTTGATTTCCCCAAACTTCTTTTACTTTTCCTTATACGAAGATAGGTGGCCACTAATTTGCTCGTATTGTGTCCACTCTCCCTACGTACAAAGTACAAAAAGTATAAGTTGTTGTACTTAAATGTCTATTTAAGAACATGCGGTATCTCAACGCACATTTTGTATATCATGGTGTACGTAAATGCAACTTTCATTATACTTACCGGCTCTTTACACTTTTGGGGTTCTGAATGTTTGCAGTAAATTTACGGAGTAAATTAGAATGTATATTGGCCAAAGATTGGTGCTATGTACACACATTTGTAGACTTTAATTGATGTTTAGAGATAAATTTGCGTATTATATTGTTATACTTGCTTAAAGTGTCTTTTTTTGTAAATGTTTATGCGTAATGTAAGCCGTGAGGAGTTTTTTGTCATACATAATACTATTTTGACATTTTTACTAAAGTATATTGTTATAGTGTGCCAAAATGTCGAGCGATGGCGGCGGCGAAGACCTGCGATGTGCTGTATGCAACGATCGTACCACGGGTAATCACTTTGGAGTAACTTCGTGCAGGTATGTTGTATTCACTTTATATTATATAATACTACATATCATATTACGTTTATTTACTACTTTAATATATATATATATATTTTTTTGTAAACACGGTCTACCTTACATATATACGACTATGTAGGAGTTTAATGTATTGTTATTGTAATTATTGTTTAATTTTAGGGCGTGCGCAGCGTTCTTTCGTCGTTCTACCGTGACCAATCGCCGTTACATTTGTCGATTTGGCGACAGTTGTGATATTGGTAAAGGTAAGTGATCATTTCATAATTCTTTACGATTTTTAGACCATTTTTACCACAATAAAAATATATAAGTCCGCTTTTACTACAGCAAACATATCTTATTCATGTTATTATATACAGCTAATCTTACGTTTTCAGACATTAGATGTTGTTGCCGCGCCTGTCGTATGAGGAAATGTCGCGAGGTTGGGATGCGACCTGACCTAGCTCGTGGTGCTCGCGACACCCCGACTGGTCCCGGCCATGTACGATCTTCTGATTCCCTGGATTCTTCTGAAAACAACTCACCTCAAGCTCCCGACCCGCAGATCCCGTCTCTTTCCTTCAACCCTCCACCTACTACAACATACGCTTCTCAGCCCACCACTTGGACTGTGCCAATCATACCGACCTCGATGAATGCCGTCTCCACCTCCAACATTCAACTAGTCCCAACTGGTGCAGTTAACTCACCGGTGGGTCAGACAAGCCTCGACGAAAACCGCTTCCAGTCCGTCGAAGAGAACGGCCGGACCTTGACTGTGCTGGAGTCTGCCGCTTCAGCTCCATCCACCTCGGTGCCGTCGCCTCTGCCATTGAACATGGACTTCAGTAAACCAGTATCATACCACGTGCTTCTGGAGGCGGCGTTGAACAGAATCCGCGGTCTAACGGGTATCAACAATCAGATCAACGAGACCTTGTTCAATCAGAATCAGGAAGCCGGCTCCAACTCCATTCTACAGAGGATGATTCGAGGCTACAGGAGGTTGGAGCAGCTGCGACAGTTCGGCAGAGGAGCGATTTTGGGCAACAGTACCAATAGGGAGCCACATGTAAGTTGGACATACATACGCTTCTTATTAGTTCAAATGTTGTAGTTGGCATATTATAGTTAGAAATGGCATTACAAATAGGACGAGTTAATAAATGCCACTTTTAAATAGTTTAATGTACCAAAAACTTTAAAGTGTTTGTGTTTTCAGCAGCTGGTTGAAGGAAATTACCTCGATGACATGGATTATATACGAAATGACCTGCCGTTGGTGTTACAGATGATCGATGACTACTTCTATCCTATCGCCAACTTTTCTCTAGATGTTAAGGTAAGATACGATTGGAAATTATGGTAAAATACTCACTTTTGTCTCAAAACTAATTTTTAATATATCATTTCAACTTATATATTACCTAAAATCTATCTAATTGTTACCTAAAATATCATAAAAATAGATCCAATATTCGTTAAGCCTAACATATGACAATAAACATCTAAACATATCACACTTTTAGTGGGCATTACTCCGCAACTTCTTCTGTCCCTTCGTGATGGCCGAACGTGCCTTCCGCACGTCACGGTACATTCCGGAATCAGAAGAACAGTGGCTTCTGATCAGTGCCGACAAATACATAAATTACCGTGCCATGGAACGATTCTGTGATGTTCCAAATTGTAAAATCGAACCAGCAAGACTAGCTCAGATTGTGACTCCAACTATGAGCAAGATATTAACCATCTTGTTAAAGCCGATGAGGAAGTTGAAGTTGAGCGAAGAGGAGTTCGTCGGGCTGACTGGACTGCTTTTCTGGAATGACAGTAAGTTTTTGAGCTTTGAAATGTAAGGTTATTTTTAAAAATGTAAAGAATCGATTTACACGCAAAATATTATATAAACTACGTCTAAAATAACATTATTAACCAACCTAACTCAATATAATTGTAGCCCTGACCTCGTTATCCGAAGAAGAGACTCGCCAGGTATTCCAAGTCCAAGAACAACTCATCAGCGAGCTGTGTGGTGTCTGTGCCAGAAATGCTCCACCAAACACGGACTCGACCAGTCGAATGGGAGTTATTGTCAACTTGGTACCGTTATGTGTCAGGCTAGCCAATGAAACCTCGAATTGTTGTTCCTTGGTCAATATGACACACGCTTTCGACTTCGACCACTTCTTGACCGCTTTCATGCCTCAGCTTATCTAAAACATCTAAGTAAAGAAGAACTCGATATTGTTTTAGACATCAGTCGTATGTGGCATGTTCTCCATAGTTTTTGACCAGGCACAACATCATCATCGTATGTAGTCAGACCTCTACAGTAATTTTTATACAAAATTGAGCTATATTCTGTTACATTTCTATACACAAACGTCTAAAACTCACCATGGTGATATGTTATACTTCACTTGTCACAACTTTTATTACTTTTCTACCAACTTTTTGACTAATCCATTATTAATATCAATTGAAATACAGTATTTTCCGTCCAGAATGTAAAAGATATATATGTGTAGTAACTTATATACATTCAAAATGTCATGAAAATAAAATTAGAACATGAATCTGATGTTTATGTGACTTAAAACGTTATTTGATATGTTTATTTTGAAGGTTTTACTGTCATTGATGACATAACATAATAGATGCGTGTTGTGGATATTGTGGCCAACCTGAGCGGTTGTTTTAGCAAAAGTTCCCGGATAAAATGCACTTTTGTAAAATATTATGCACGGTGCAGGTCATTTTGAAAATTTGCACCGTGCAACAATTATCATTTTATGCACCGTGCAAATCATCCATGAACTTTTAGGGTGATATGGTATCGTATAATATGAAATGCAAGATAATGCAAATATGTAAGAGACAATATATATTAACAATTGTGGAAACTATTTTTTAAGATTTTTGATGTTGTGGTAGGTAAAATATTAAGTATTTTTAATAATACAATATAAAAAAATTTCAAAATTAGTAAACAATACTAATAAGATCTTAACTATCTTAATATTACCTATAAGACCCATAAAATAGTAAAAAAAGAAAATAACACTTAAAATCAAGGTACACCTACTTTTGAAGGTCCTAAAACATTAAAAAGTAAAAATTACGAAAATGTCCCCCAGAAGCAAATCCAAATTATACAGTTTTGTCAGTATCATTCTGAACAGCCAATTGGTCCACACTGATTGGCTCAATCCCCTCCGCTGACATCTTTTTCGACTTCTCCACATCATCCTCACTTATGATGCCTTCAGCGATGTAAGCTGGAGGATGACCACTCGACCACTTCAAAAAGACAATTGAAGCCACTAACATGAAGCCAGACATCACACCGTACACCGGAATCCATTCCGTTTTTGAAGTCTTATCAGTGACAAATAAGGCCACCATTGCTGGACCAAAAAATAGTTGGACACAGTTCATAAACTGGGTTATTCCCATCACAAAGTAGCCATGCTGGCTAGAATAACATGGTTAATATAAGAAAAAACATTTTTTAAAGATTTTGATGTTTTCAATATTTTACACAATAAAACATGCCAAAACTAATATTATATACCATAAATCTTATTATCTTTCCTTATAAGTCTTATTACAACGAAAAAACTCACCGTGAATACAGCACGATAGCCTTGCAGAAGCTGACGGTCGAGAAGCCGGTAACCAAGTTGAAGCAAACAAACGCCACAATAGCCACTCCAGACCACCCTTCCGGAGCCAATCCGATACACATCAAGAATACTCCACCTCCAAACAAGGTGATCGTGTTGAACAACTTCAACTTGAAGTCTTCTCCTACGGATGTCCATTTATCTGCCAGATATCCAAAGACCAATCGTGTTGGACATTGAGCAAAGGTGGTCAGACCCGAAAGAAATCCTGTCGCTTCTACATCGAAATTAAGAGCGTATTTTATGTAATAGGCCGCGTAGAGTTGGACAAAGCCAGAGGCCATGATTTCAGCAAATCCATTGAACCAGAAGGACCAGATTATCGGGTCTGTGAGGAGTTTCTGAAAGGATAAGCAATGTTAATATAGTTTACATAGGACGAAAGTCTAGTTTAGTCAGAAATGATTTTAAAAATTATTGTTTTAGAGTTATATATCATCGTTTTATCGTTTTATGATTGAATCCTTCATATACTTCATTAAAAACTCTTTTTTCCTTCGAAAACTACCTTTCCAAGCAGGTATCATCAACATAAACCTCCATTTCTCGAAACACAATAAAATATAAAACCTTCCCTACCTTATAAGGAATAGGCTCAGTAGCTCCTCCAATCTCATTCAGATTCCTGTTTCTCTGAATCTTCTCCAACTCTACCGAAGAGACTCGGTTACATTGATGAGGCTCGTCTTCATATACCAACCACCACAATACTGCCAAAATTAATCCAATACAGCCGTGGCCAAAGTAGACATAAGGCCATCCATAAGACGAGTCACAAACCTGGCCAGAAAAGGCATTGGTCAGTCCAGTAGACATAGCTACATGACAACAGAGCACAGAGAGGAAGAAGCCAGATTGTTTTAGGGAAGCCCATTTGGAAGTAACCAAGCCTATCGAAGAGAAGTCGGCTGAGAAGGTGAATCCTTGAAGGAAGCGGAGGAACAGCATACTGTAGTAGTTCCATTCGGCAGCAAATGGGAATAGGAATGTGGCTACTGAAGAGATCAGAAGACCGATTAGAAATGGCACTCTAGCTCCAAAGCGATAGAAAGCGTGAGCGAAGGGTATCGTGCCGGCTACTGAGCCAAGGCCAACTGCCCAGTTGATCTGACTGACTTGGTATGGACTGTAGTCGATTGGCGGAAAGACGTCTATAGCCTGAAAGGTAAAAATACATGTTGAAACTTGTTGTAAACTATAAAATAAATCTTTAAACCAGTAAATTTTAAGAAATTTTGATATTAACCTAGAGAATCCAACCTTTTTTTGCTTTTTCGAAACTTTAAAAAACCTATTATCGTATACCAATGGAGAAATTACATCCAACAAATAGATTTTAAAATATTTAAATCAAATCATTAGCTACCATAACATGATGAATATGTGCCTTTTTAGACTAAAAACATCCCCGAAACATAAAAATATCAAACCAAACTTACTGTGAAATCACTAGTAGAGTTTGAACTCATACAAACAATAGCAATGTTAAACGCAAAGGTATTCGAGGATATCATCATGAATCCAAGTAGAGAGACAGTCAGTACAAAGTACCTGTACATGTCACGAAACTGATAAGTAGCCATGGTTATATTGTAGTAGCTACAGTCAACGTGAATCCTTGTAGCTGCAGTTAACGTGAATCCAAAAGGTTTATAACCTAAAAATATAAATTTTAGATAACGTTTATATTGTTTTAGGATAACATCTTATACTATGGTAGTTAAAACGCCAAAACAATGTTATACATGATATTATAGTAGATGAAAGGTAAAAAAGAATGAAAATTCAATAAATTATACCTAAAATAACCTTCCTGCCACTTCAAAAGAAGATAAAAGACTCCTGATCAAATTTGCAAAATCTGAAACGCGTTTAATTTGGAATTGGAAGAGATTCAAAGAATTTAAATTAATATATTATATTATACATGAGGAAAGTAAAATATTATACATAACAAAGAAGCATAGATTAATATACAAAGTCAAAAAGTAATCGCGGCTAAATAAAAATATTTTTACACAGTTTCACCTTGTTTTACATCGATAAATCCGTCTTTCCTCGACATTTTTTCCAAAAAATATTATCGCATTTCTCGAGCTGCGTCCACGGCCAGATTTTGGCCGGTTTCTTACTAATCTGCCATAAACCTGTTCACACAAGTGTTTTCTTCACATATATTCCTAAGTTTACTTTTTAACTCTACATTTATCTAGTTTTTAAAGTCTTCATCTACAACAATATTATCCTCTCTCTAATATACTTTAAACCTAAACAAATATTGTTAAACCAAAACTGCAGCTAAAACCAAGGGTCGAAATGATTACCGATATTCCCCAGACGTTTTTCTGAAATCGAGATGATGAATCGACCATTATGACCTGGGTTCAGCGTCGTATCTTAGAAACATTTCCGTGTAACACACGAGGGCTTGGGAAGGGTAAGATATGTGATCAGTCATGTTAAATTAAAATATGGGAGTTTGTGATAAAGTGTAAAGCTTCTCGTGGAATGATAAAAGATAGATCACGGCTTTCGCAGGAAAAGAAACGTGGTAAATACACATATGTTAAGGTTACTATCAAAGCAGACAATTATAATATCATAAATCTCTATAATATTTGATATGTTAGACTAAAAATTAAATTTAACTAGAAAGCCCTTCTTTACAGTAACCCACAGTGGATTTTTTGTCTGTTTACGAACTAAAGCAATATCAAAATGTGTAATGTAGGTTTCCTGGCGTTCAAAAGTTTAAAACATACGTAAATTTGACAAAACGACTTGACTAATAACAATATAAACAAACAGAAAGATCAAAGTTTGAAGCTGCTAGCGGTTTAGAAGCTTTAGCTGCTAAATATTATACTGTAACTTAAAGTAATTCACAGCTATGACATTGTAACATAAAGTAAGTAAAGGATATGATGCTGTAACTTACAGAGAGTGGCAATTATTATACTATAACTTAAAGTAATTGAAAGGTACAATACTGTAAGTTGGAGTTAGTAGCAGCTATTACCCTGTAACTTAAAGTAAGTGTATATCTTAATAAGAAATACATCTAAATTTCCAAAAGTAAGCACGGCCAAAAAAGATCTAACCAAAGTTGCTTTCTCCTCCACCTCTAGTCTAGCCAAAGTCCAAAAGAACAGTAAAATTACAAAAATATCAAATTTTGAATTTAATCATCAAACAAATCATCGTTTTGGAATCGTAAAGTTAACTAATATAACAAGTTTAAGCCATTTTATTATAAAGTCTATTCAGACAACCTTTCTTAAATTCATTATGTTTTAATGACAAGCCGTTCTGGTAATAAACTTTTACCTCTGAAGTCTCACTTAAGAGTTATTTAATGACATTAACATATCCTGTTCAAATATCAAAGAACTAGTTAATGAGTCGGCTGGCATTAACAAGACTTTATTAAAGTTTCACAAAATGTATAAAAATTCAAATTTAACATTCACAAGTTTAAAGAAATTTAAATTTTAAACAAAATTTTTTTAATTTAGCTAAAATATATAGTGATCAGCAAAGTTTTCAAGGGTCCGAGCTAGAACCAAGACCAGAGAAAGAATTTACAAAAAAGCCTCAAGCCAAAGCCCTAAATTTTACATTTGAGCATTCTGACTTTACTCAAAATATTAAAAATAACAAAAACAATGACAAATGACCATTGATGTAACACTTGAGTTATCTTGTTTTTATACCTCAAGATGTTGGGTCAATATTTACAAACTTTGATTAAGTTTCTCAATATTCGTTATTGTTTTGATGCAGATGTGATAAGTTTATTTTTGTTTAGAGTTATGAACATTAATCAAAAAATATTATTTTTAAATGATTCTAATTTAAAAATCTTTTAGTTAATACTGTTTAGACATAAATCAAAACGTCAATTTTTATCCTTTCCTTTGTCTTGATGTCTAAACCTTGTTTCTGTGTAAGGAGTTGTACCGTTCTGTTTTAAAGTAGTAACAAATCTTTAAAGACTTGCAAAATAAGTTTTATTACTTTCTTAAATGACAAAATTCGGCAGTGATTTGATTAGAGACGTTTTAAAAATAAACTCTGGATATTAGACTTGACAGTCGTGTAATATACACTTACAGCGTAAAAATTACACAAGTGCGAGAGAAACGATTTGTTGGCATACCATAGACAATATAATACTTTGCAAAGATAAGTCATGACAACTTTAACATCACTTAAACGATGGTATCCTTTCTCGACTCGATGTACTTCTTGAGTTGAGGAAGGTTGTGGATTCTCTCAACGTGCTGGAGAAGGTCCTGACGTTCGGCCAAGAGATCTGGAGCCATTTTGTTCAGAGTGAAGATGTAGTCAGCGATGGCGAAGTCAACAAAGGTCTCCTTGTTGCCAACGTAGAAGCCGCCTTGGTGGGTTCTCAGGACTTGAGAGAAACGCTCCAGGAACTTCTTGGTCACTGGCTTGGCTACAGACTCGTAGCGTTCGGCTTCCTGAAAAAGTTTTTTGATAAAAATTTGAATTTGAAGGTTAATTTGACTATATTAATATAGGTCTTTGAGTAATCAATAAAAACTTACAGTTTCTGGATCCCTGATACCAGCCTTAGCGTAGAACCATGGGGCCAACTCGCTTCTGAAGTCCTTCAAAATGTCGTTCAATTCTCCAACTTTAGCCTTTTCCCATTCGTTGCGACCAGTCAATTCTAAATATTTTGACTAATAGCACCATTAAGAGCTGTACAACTATTTACTTAGTGGTTATTAAAACTAATTTACATTAATATTAAGTTTTTCAATTAATTATGTGTCCCTTAACCTAAAAAAAATTGTTTCGAGAAGAGCACAGAACTATTTGAAATTTAACTTACTGTACTTCTCGGCGACGTACCACAAGATGGCTGAGCTTTCAGTCAACTGCTTGCCATCGACTTCAAGAACTGGCACCTTTCCGTATGGCATACCTAAAACATTTCTTGCTTTAAAAAGGTGATACTGACACCTATCAACTATAACAAGACGTTTCTTATAATAGGTTAAATTGATACAAGATAACGTTGATTACATTATAGATTATTACATAGTAAAGTCATTTAAAAACAAAACCTTACGTTCTTTAAGCTCAGGCCACTCTTCTTGAGTTACTCTGACATCGTCGAACTCGACCTTGGCATAGGTGAAGACTTGTCTAATAGGCTCGGCAATGTTGCGAGCGTCAAAGTAGTACAACTTGTAGTGGGGCTTCTTGCCGGGGATACACTTTGGCAGTTTAATTGGCATTTTTACTAAATATCAAATTTTAAAAAAGTTTAAAATTAAAGTTTATTACATCTTTATCAATTATATACACAATAACATGTATCCCCTTGCCGTATTTTACATTTAAAATATATAAAAGGCATTGAATGTCTAAATACAGCTACTACAATATAGTTTTCAGGCTATTAAGACTTAAAATTGAGAAAACTTGAAAGATATTACACTATACAACCCTCCATATAAAACTAAAACTTTAGTATAAAAGAATATTCGAAAACGTCGCGAATATACATTAACATATGACTATGTATAGAAGAATACTTTTGCTACAAAAGATGCACGTAATTAAAGAGAAACTTGTTTCTAATTAGTTTTTACGGAAGAGACAAAGACTATTATGATACGTTTTATCATCACTGTAATTATCTGTGGCATGATTCGGGAGAGAGAATATATACAAAGTATGCAGTAAAAGTGGCGTTACTTTTACTTTTTAAGTGTTTAAAAGTTTGAAAAAATGTTTAAAGTTATCGACCAGTCGATTTTTTTGGCAAAAAAGTGAACTTTTATTTACATATGGGCCCTTAAGAGATAAATTTTAATTTTTAAAGGTATTTTTGTAAATTAACACTACTACTACCCTACTACAACACTTTAACCTTGATTTATACCCAAAAATCCCTCAAACTTAATTACCGTTCCCAAAAAGAGTCTGTAAATCGGTCCCAAAACTTTTTTTATGTTCTCAAAGACGGGTAAGACAAGGTTTTTTGGGCGGGTCAGTGGAGGAAGGTCGAGACTGTCGAGAAAAAAAACTTTTTTTTGTTTGATTTGCCGCGGTAAGGGAACTCTATTATTGTAAGTTGAGTGCGGTAAAAGTGCTCAAATATTCACGCATGGTTTTGTGACGGATATTGATGTGTGCGGACATGGGGGGAGAGATGGAGGTGGAAGTGTAAATGGAGGTATTGAGGTAGGGGTAGACATGACTGCTTAATTATAGGCTTCTGAAGCGGGCGACTTTCTGACTGTTTAGAAAATTTTTTTTTGAAAAAGTTAAACGGGCCCCCCCCCTGTTAAATTTAAAAAAATTTATTTGACAATCCATAGTAAAAAAATTTTTTTAACTTTAAACTCCATAGAAAACAAAAATTTCTCTAACCTTCTCCTCTCCTCCTCTCCAAGCTCTAACTCTTCTTACTTGGTAAGAGTAAAGAAAGTTAGATCTGTATAAACAATTACATTATTATCTAACCCTCAATACAGCCAATCACAAGCCTAAACCTTGGCTAACCATTATCCCAAACCTTGGCTAAACACCAGTCTAAACCTTAGCCAATTACCAGCCCAAACCTTTACTAAATACCAGCCAAACCTTGGCTAAATACCATCCCAACCATTGGCTAAATACCAAAAAACCTCAACAAAAAAGATTTGCGATTGATGTAGCAACGAAGTGCAAAGAGTGTAAAGCCATCAAATTATCTAATCAACCGATGGGCGGCTTTCTCTTTCTACGTCGCTGTAAAAAAGACAACACCAACGACCTTTCGTTTATAATCTTCAGAGAAACGGCATGGAATTTGCATATGTGTAAGATCGACGCGATCACACGACTTTATTTTCATAGAATTGGTCGTACAAGGGCTTGTAATTAGTCAGAAATCGACTAATTTGAAAGAAAGTGATAGACAATTAAAAGTATGATAATATAGACATCTATAAGCAGTAAGTGATGGTTAGGAAAAGCGGGGAAGGTAAAATAAGCAGCAAATTAGAAGACATATAAAGACCAAAGCATTGCCAAACAATTCTTACTTATATCACCCCTTCCTTTGTTAAAAAACACCCCCTAGAAGAAAATTACCTCCTCCCCCTTTTTTTAAGTCAATCTCAACTTAAAATTTCAAATTTTTCGATATATACGTTATTTAAAGTGACCCAAACCCAACCCGAATGCAAAACATTTGGCCGCGGATCAAAAGTTCTGTGGCCGACCCCCCACTAGTCTTTAGTGTAAAAGCGAGGCCTAAGCGATGATATCTTTATTTATACAGTCCAAATATTTTGTTTAGTCGCGACTCGGATTTAAATAAATTTTCAGACGAAAAAACGTTTTGCAAACTTTAAGTGCGATTAGTTGATAGCCTGGATAACATAGACTACAGAACAGTTTTTACAATCTTGTGGGCAATAGAACTTTATGAAGCTAATATTATTCCTCCTGAACAGCATGGTTTTCAAAAACGTAGGGGCGTTCTTACTAACTTACTTGAAACTACTAATGATTTGGCCAACTTTATTGATGATAAAATTCCAGTTGATCTAATACTCCTTGATGTAGCTAAGGCTGTCGACTCCATACCGCATAACTTACTTCTTACCAAACTATCTACATTGCATATTAATGGTCTAGTTCTCCAATGGATTAAATCTTTTCTTAATAATCGTACTTTTAAAGTAAAAATTAATTCTTCGTTTTCAACTTCTAATCCTGCTTTTTCTGGAGTGCCCCAAGGCTCAGTTCTGGGGCCTTTACTGTTTATACTGTACCTTCATGACCTTCCTTCTAAATGTAATGTTACTGGTGTGCATATCAAAATGTTTGCTGATGATTGCAAATTATTATATATGCCCCTTCTTCTAATTCTGTTAACCTTCAAACAGTTTTAAATAACGTTAACTGTTATATGTCCGCCAATGGCCTTAAGTTAGCTCCTCATAAGTGTTCTGTTCTTCATGTCGGCAATAACAACAATTCAGTACCTTATTTCTTAGACTCCATTCGGCTTAATACTGTTAAATTAGCGCGTGATCTAGGTCTTTTAATTAACAATAAATTCACTTTCACTGACCACATTGACAATGCAGTGTCCAAGGCTCGTAAGCAATGGTTTTTACTATTACGATCTATCAAGTGTTATAATCATAAACTTTTAACTAAAATTTACACTACTTATGTTCGTCCAATAATTGAAAAATTTTCACCTATATATAGGCCATATCTTAAGAAAGATATAGATAAAATTGAAGGTTTTCAAAAGCTAGTAACGCGTACTATCTTCTTTCGATGTTCTTTATCCTATCAAACCTACGTTAACAGAATAAAATTTTTGAACCTTCCTACTATTGTCTCTAGATTCGATAAGCTTGATCTTAAACTCTACAGTAATATTGTCAGTAATAAAACTATTGTATCTGAAGCTCTATTACCTAAATTCTCTCCCTCTCGAACACGGGGACCTCAATCTAAGATCGTTGTTCCGTATTGTAGATTTGCAGTTAAAAGTAATTCGTACTTTGTTCGTATCTGTAAGCGTATTCGGAATCAGTCAGTCATCTGACTTCGTCAGTATTGTATTCTTACTATTTTTAATGTTTTATTTATTTTTTTTTCTTTTTACTGACGCAATAAATAAATAAAATAGAACTTTATAATGAGGAAATCTAAAACCCTGAGGAGTTCGTTATACAGGAGTTCCAAGGTATCACAAAAGTCACAAATTTCTGTGTAATCAAAGTTTTATAAGCGATACCTACAAAAAACATTATATTATAGTAGACAAGCAATCTCAAACTCTATATAAATTCTGTGCAAACCCTATAAAAAGACAGTAAAACGAAAAAAACCATATATTTCACCTTTTACATTACAGTAACATATACTTCACCTCTTACAGTTAAACTTCCTCACAACAAAACAAACAAGAAGATACAAAAAGTAAAATAAAATAAAGTTTGTCATCTAAAAACAAATTTGAAAACTTAGAGAAATGCCTTCAGGCTTAGTAATAAGCACAAACACATTAATCATCGTAATATGTTTAACTGACAACTTTGGAAATTGCTTTCTCATTGCTATACATTATAATGTATAATGCATTAGCTCTTCATTACAAGAAAAAACAACTTTTTGTAATTTTACTTTGTAAAACAAAGTATGTTACTTTAAAATTAATTTTTATAGGAAATAATTCTCTTAAAATACCATTCTAAATATAATTCTTCTACTTATGAATGTCCAAATTGTGCAGACGTAATTTAACAAAAAATTACACTTCCATTAACTACAAAACCAATTTTACTCTTCAGGAACTCTAGGAAACTTAAAGCCAAATGCAGTATAATCATAGTAAAACAGTTGCATAACCAAGTCAACAAGATACGATGATCTTCTCAGCCTTCGCTCCAGATACTGTCTATGAGCCAGTAGTACTGTAGAATGTGGTGTTCTACCATTCTTCATACTAGTTTCTATGTATTTCAATGATTTGTCGCTAACCTTTTGTAATTTTAGGTACTTTTTCAACTGTGGAAAGAAAGTATTTACATTGGAAGAGTATTTGAGTATAGTGAACTTGTTCATTGTTTTTGGGGTTAAGTTACATCGCCTGAAGGGATTTTAAGCTAATACTATAGTCAACAAAGTATAATAGCAAAATTTAAAAAAAATCATTTTTTGAAATTAGTTTTAAACCCCCCCCCCTCCCCCGAGGCCAAAGTTATTAAGTAGTTCAAAAAAACTCTGTGCCCCTAACTCCAAAGATTTGTTTATAAAAGACACAGAATTATCTGAACAACCTAATACCTACCTTGTCCCTAGAGTACCAATCTATGAAACTTACCATGATTGAGGATAGGCATGCTCAGTAAGTTCACCAAACTCTTTCTCTGGATTCAAAGCCATCTTCTTCAACAAAATCAACTGATTTTCCAAATAACATGTCATGTTGACACCACAGCCATGACATCTTTTGTCACATACGTTCTCTTTAACATATTCTCCTCTAAATTATATTGTTTTAGGTATATATTTGGTCATAAAATGGTATTACGCTAAAAATAACTTAAAAATTCAAACTTAAACTTAAGTCAAGCTTAAAACATCTTGGTACTAACCTAAAGTAATATAAATTGAAATACAAATTCTAAATGCAATATTGATTATAGTTATCAAAACCTGCCCAACCATAACTTACACAACGCAAAAGTACATAAAGTTAGACAGAATTCGGTCGATCGGATCTCTGACCACCAACAGATTGTGCCATCCTTTCTTGTCTTTAACTTTAGCCATTGCTTTTGCCATAGATGAAGCTTTATTTGAAGCACAGCTTCTTTCAAACACATCTCGTGTTAACGACTTGGCACTGTAAAGAAAGCTGAGTTCATCATTGAGGAAACAGAAGATTGCCACGAGTAATTGACTCATATTCTTCTTGATCTGGCACACTAACGACTTTGTCTTTGGAAATGCCTGAATTCATCTTATTTACGATATTAATTGAAAGATGTTTTGCTAATATAATACATTATCATTTTAATATTCAGCAAAAAGTTAAAATTTAAAAGTAAAGTAAAATACGATTGGTTACAACATTTCTCTTTTACACTTTAATCGTAATTTGAAATTCGAATCAAAGAAGCCACTATAACCTTACCTAACATAACAATCATTAAAACAACAAATAACATACCCAAAAATACTGTCGATGTTTTACATTTCTAAATCCTTTGATGCAAGCTTTGTTTTCATTACAGTATCCTTTGAAAGTAGTAATATTGCCATAGTCAAGCTTCCTAATTGGCTAAAATTTAATTTTTATTATATAAAAATAAGGCTCAATGTGTTAGAGTAGGCTTAAGTAAGACTATAAGTTGAGGTAGGCTTGAGTAGGGCTAGAAGAACCAAAAGCATGTTTTGATAAAGCTAAAATGCTCAAGGGTAGGCTTGGGTAGGAATAAAACCGACAGAGATAGGCTTGAGTACCGCTAGAAAAAACAATGATAGGCTTGGGTAAGACTAAAAATGGCAAGGTGTAGGCTTAGGTCCGATGGGGTAATGCTGTTTAGCTCTTAAAATTTATAAAACAAAAAAATAAAATACTTACTTGACTGTTCTGTCGTATTACTTCCTGAACAGATATAGGTTCACATGACTTTAGTGGCGGAGTAAACAGAGGTTTTTCTAAAAGTATTTCTTCTATTCCGCATGTAAATAATTGTATTTTACCTTCTCTATCGCTTTTTGGATACACTACTTTAACATGTTCGTTACTAGAGTGAAGTCCAATGAATATTAAGACAAGGAAACCTATGATAATGTAAAAATAATTAGAAAGATCTCGGTAATACCGTGACATATAAAATATGATATTGTAAAGTAAATTCTAACTACAGAAAAAGGTGAACTCTACCTTAATAATAGTGAAAGGTTAGTTTACTTGGATTATCTTTTTGTTTTACTTTTTGCAACTTCTACTTTAACATAACATAATTTGATCTAATTCATGTTATTTTATGTGTTACAGCTTTATATATCAGTAAAACCTATATTATTAGGTCTTTGTCTTTTGAGTTCATTTTTAATTAAAGCTTATTGTATATACCATTCCTGTATCAAAAAATTATTTATACAAGATGAAACGACCTTAATCAAGCTTTTATTTGCAACACTTTGATTTATTGCTCAAAATTCCAAAATGTAACGTCATCGATGAGATATTCATCTCCTTCGTCTTGCACATCCCCATTTTTCAATAAACCTCAATTCCCAGACATTCTTTTTTTCGCCTATCAAGCCCTATATTAACCCCTACCTCCCACAACGATTGCCCTCCTCAGAAGCCTATAGAATAATGTGCCGAAACCAGATCCAGAACCAGACGAAACTCGAAGATGTTATCGCGCCTCTTCCTCAAAAACTGATCCATGCCTTCACTAGGAATAGCGACATGAACTTGTCCGGATTCTACTGCCGCTGCGCTTTAATTGTTTTCCTCGTCTTCTGGCTCGCCTTCACGATCTTCTACGTGCTGATGATGCACGGCAACAATGGAGAGTTGACAGAAGCCGAGAATGAGAGGATTCTGTATAGAGAAGTGAGTTGTGGTTTGGCAGTGAATATTTAAGCTTATTTGAAAATAATATTCGTTTAATATATGCCTGAAACTGAGTTTTTAAAAAATTTTTATTGAAAAAAATTAAAACATTTGGTAACTTGTAAATTACTAGACTTCCAACTTAGTTATGCAAATGTGTTTTATCAGTAAGAATGTTTATACTATAGTAAAGATTCATATTACTCAGTTAGTAGACCCACACAGAATAGGTAGCTCATATTGACTGTAAAAAACATTCCTAACTAAAGTAACAGTATGTACTTTTTGAGTATTTAAATTTAAATTTGTTTTAGCGACACCCATGGCAATAGAACTTCACTGACACAAACATCACTACAATGAGCTTGGTACAATAGTTTCTCAACTAATTAATGTTGTAAATACTATTTTTAATAAATTTTAATTTAATTAGCAGCCGTATAATGTAGTAAACAAAAGCCACCAGCCACCTACTTTTCTTTTACAGTATAGGTCATCAAAAAGTGCATGTCATATTTTACAAGTCATCTTTTACAGTGTCACAATAAAAAGTATTAAGTCAAAACGTTATGTTACTTATAGCAAGACCCTTTTCCCTTAGAAATCGCTAAAACATCAACTCTGTCAGTAAAGTAAGCTAATTATAAGGTAAAGTAGGCTAACATGCCTATGGTGTGTCTACTTAGCTAACACCTTAAGAAACCAAAGCTACTAGCCTAATCTACATGTACTATCGAACTTATTGATTGGTCACACCACCTTCCCCACCCCTGAACAAACAACTGATGCTCCAAAAACGTACGTCAATCTTGTTTTCGGCCTGATTCCCCTTTCGGTTGTTCTCCTCTTCACTTTTGTTCATGTAAACGACAATGAGATCAGTTTTGGTGGTTCTGGCAGCCAAGACATGTATCTTCGGACTGCTGCTTTTCGCTTCGTTGTTGTTGCTGGCTAGTCCAACACAAGGGCTGATCAATGGTGATGGTCATGAGGTAGGATTTGAGGGTCTAAATGAAAAAATATTAAACTTAAAAAAAAGTTTTTTAAATATGTTGTTCAAATAATTCTGTGCCCCAAACCTCAAATATTTTTTTGCGAGAAGGCACAGAATTATTTGAACAATTTAACATTAATAATAAAGTTAAACTTACGGGCAATTTTTGTTTAAAACGCCAAGTTTTAGGTAACAGTAGTTTTTGTGACGGAAATTGTTGTAGTTTTTATTATTTCGATCGAACTTGGCCATTCCATATCATCCTTATTGAGAGGAGTGTATGCCTATCGAAAAGACAAGATTATTCGAAGAGAAATTGCTGTTTGTAAGTTTTATTATAAAAACGCATGTTTTACTGATCATTATATTGGTCAAAAAATAATTTCTAGCGACTTTTTGACCAAATTTTAATTTAATTTTCACAAAACTCTTTCGTAAACAATGTTTTTTACTATGTAGTATTTCCATATTAATCATACGATATTTTAAAACTATTATACCAAGTTCTAAAAATACTATTACCTCCAGACATAACAGCCGGCTCTATCATTGGAGCGACCTATTTCTATTACCAAAATTTCGGATCGGCCGAGACAAAGCGACTGGGAACATGGACGGGCATGTTGATGATAATGACTATTGTTCAAATCTCCGACCGCATCTATGCTCGTCGCGTGTTGCGAAGAGTCGTGGATCATACAATATATATGAACCAGAAGGCTGGCAATTTCATCGACGAGGATGGCGCTGCTTCTTTATATGAAATTCAGGTAGAGATTTGTTAAATCATATTATCTCAAGCGTATTTTACCCTATTTTTCTATTCGAGGTTTTGGGTAATATATTATACTTGATATCAACAAGAGAAAAACTTGATTATCCCCTATAAAACATGTTTTAACATACCCAATAATCTTAATCTGACTATAAAATACTGTTTTAGCTACGACGAAAGGTATTTGGTCGTTACGGTTCTTCTCCATACGAAAGTCCGATAAAGAATGTCCTTCATGTTGAGTACCACCAGTTGATGTGTTTCGCGGCACGCTTGGAACGGCTCAGCCGTACTCAGGAGAAAGGTTTGTTCGCGTTGGACGAGATCCGCCGCGAGCTGATTTGTCATGTCAGAAGCTTTGGCCTAACCGAACACGAAACCGAGAAATGGAGAAAGATTGCCGATGCTCCTATGTTAATATTCCCGGACATTGATTAAGTTATTCTGGAATTACTGCGGTAATAAAAGCGATATAAATTTTTTGTGTTACCAATTTTAAAATAGCTGTTTTTAATCATAGGATAGTACAACATAAGACATTTTATAAAAATAAGTAACATCATATAAATAAATTGTAAGTTCAACATATAAATCTTAAAAAACAAGTTCCAAATGCACAAATATGATTTTTACAGTTTATTTTTTTTTATATTATTCATAATAATTATTTAAAAAATCATACAAGCCACGTTAAAAAGGAAGATAATACGATATTATTATAGTTCATTGTTAATCTAAAAACAAATTTCAGGCCGTTACAAACAGTAAGAAAATAGATAGCATAAAAACATGCCAAAATGACTTAATATCTATACATACACATGCAAACCGAGAGATAGAAGGCTCCGCGGACCCGTTTTGAAAGACTGAGATAGTGATAAGAGTAACTTTGGAGGTAGATACGAACAATAAAATACCATACACAACATAGAAAAGACCATGCTCGCTATTAAAGTTTTCAAAAATCCTGATCCATATACGATTGATATCGATAACATGCACAAATGATGCAAATGTAGTGAAATGCACAAAACGGTATACCTTCAGTGACCCGTACTGAATCGGTCAAAAAGTCCTCAAAATTATCTTGTGCAATTCTCAAAACTTTTTTAGAACCTTTCGACCATTGCAGTACGTTGATCCACCAAACAGTACCATAAACCTAGTCTAATCAAGCCAAATCTAGTCTAATCATCAAGTCGAACCACCTTCCTCTTCGTGATCAATCGCCCATAATCAGATTCATATTTCTCCCAAGCAAACGTCTCAAACTCTTCTTCTGTTTCAAACAATGGAATCTGAGCAGGTACAGCTGAATCGAATCGTCTGAAGAAGTTCTTCGCCATGTTCAAGACCTCGATTTGTTCTCTCGTTTGACCAATAATCAATTCTCTCGTCTTTTGACTGAACCTTGGAGTCTGAAATTAACAAATTTAGTATAGAAACGAAAAACAAATCATAAAAAAATAAAGGCCCATCTTATATCTTCTGTCCGCAAAAGACAAAAAAAATAATTGAAAAACTACCTAAAATTAACATCAATCATTATCAAACCCGAACTCCTCCATCGAAATAAACCCAAAATGTTCCCCCAAATCCTTACCCTAATCCTCGAAGCCATAGTGACACTCATTTGACCAACTTTAGAATCACTGTCATTTTCGTCGGTCTTAACCTTCTTGTCCTCAGGCCCATCTGAGATCGCAGAAGCTGGCCGTTTTGTGACAGATCGCTGAGAATAACATGTATTTAGTGACAAGTGCTTCAGCGGACTTCGTTCGCCAAAGATAGACACATCTTGATTAGAATAAATATATCTGTTGGGTGATAACATGTCATTGTACACTGCTTTCGTTGGTGAATATGTTGTAAATCCAGAAAAGCCCTGAAATTTTAAAAATGTCATAAGATTTGTCGAAAAATGATTTAAAATCCTAGAAAAATTGAAATCTTTAACTACAATGGGAAGAAAGTTACATCCAAAACTAATTCAATGCTTTAGCCAAATATACTTTAGATATCAAAAATAACTTACCGAATCGCTGACATATTTACTAGGTGTTTCAGCACTAGAAAGAATAGAAGAATTCGCAGAGGATGTGGACGGTTCCGGTTCATGGTTTTGGAAACTAATAAGACTTCTGGGCTTGGAATATCCACTTGTAAACGACCCATCAATGTGCACATCTAAACAACATAATTTACTTCTCAAATATACAAAGAAAAGATGTTTTCCTGACAAATATCCTACATAAAAAACAAAAAAAAGATAACAACTAAATATTAACTATAACTTTCCGTTTTTCATTAAAAAATTATTCACCCAATAATGTGTTACCTAAATTCTCAAATCTAAAATATCAAAACCAAAACTAAATAAAATCAACGACTTACCAATAGTCGTTTTGGGTGACTTGAAGAGGTTGATTTTGCTTTTCGGCGAGCTGCTAATAATGAAACTTCGAAGCGGAGATGCAGTGTTCGAGTGATTGCTCTTCTTGAACATGCTGAGGGGAGTCTTCAGGTCGGATGAACTCTCAAAGCACGACCCATCTCGCTGAAATTGTTTTTTAGGTAACGTTTTCGTGTTGAAGCTTGACCGAAAAGGTCTAATAACAAAATTTTTAGATTTTTATTTATTGTTTGTTTTCGTGGCGGAACCAATTTGCTTGGTACATGTTAACATACGCGTTAAATATATTATTGTCATTGTATAGATGTGTGAGAACGTAAAAGCGCCATGCCCAACATAAAGAGATTTAAGGCAGTAGTTTGGCAGCTGTCTTAATCCGTTAAAGGCCGTTCGCCTACTTGCAGATGTCTTAACGACCGTCGCCTTTCTAATTACAGATTTCGGTGCGACAAGTGGTCGAAATGCGCGAGCATCGTAAAATATAGTTAGTTTTGCAAGTTGTGTCACAGTTTTTGAAATTTTGCAAAACTTTGGTAACACTGTGAAGCCTTTTTGAACTAAATATCACTAGATTGCAGTTAAAAGATGATTATGGTTTTTTTGAATCTATGTAATGTCTCTAGTTATCACCCCTATTGCAAGAAGAACGTTTTTCTAGCGATTTGACCTCATGTCTAACATTACATTATCCACCAGAACATTTCGCAATCATATAATTTCATCTCCAAGATCGCCAAGCTGCGACTCGCAAATTATTCTCGCTCTTTCTCGCATATTATCCATCACTAGCCTTGTATTCTACCCTACATCCGATAGGGATGGCATAGTATCCGAAATTGCGGTCATATCCATTCCAATATCGACAAGTGTCGAAATATTACGAGTTACGCAATAGGTAATGGAATACGTTCTCAGGTCGCGATATGGGTGAGGATTTATGGTAATTGAGCCCGAATAGCGGGTAAACATACGAAAATGTCATGTACATTGCAATGAGGACAAGAAATGGCATAATATTCGCTATTATATTATTATTTTACTAGCTTTTATTGTGGTTTCATAAACATTATTTTTGACATTTGATCAAAAGGTATGTAGAAAGGTTTCCTATGTAGATGATAATATTTATACTTACTATGGTCACTAGCTTATACTTTTCTTTTTACTTTTTGACCCAAATCTTAAATAAAAGCCAGAAAACAGAATAAAAGGCTAGTTGCCCCACTAGCCCTTGATAGAAGCTGCCCTGCTAGTCTTTAATAACTCGCAACCCTTACTCAAGGCTAACATAAGTTAATAGCGGATCAAGGCTAACATAAAGGGAAAGAGGATAAGATCGCCGTTTTTGTCCTAGAAGTGACAGCCCTTCAATCGGCCTTACTCCGGGCTACACTTTTGGCGATCTCCAGGTGCGAACATAAAATGTCTGTGAGTAATATAAGGCCGGTCTTTTTGAATACTTCTGGTCTTTTTGGATAAAAGTCTTTTTTAGCCTACTATCTGGTCAAAAAGTAGATTCAAAAATCATCAAAAATAGTAGTTACTGCTGTTTTAAATGCATCAAAAAAATACCCCCTTTACCTAGTTTTATTAATAATTAGCTACTATAACCCATGTTATAAAGCTAATATAATTAATGTTGCCAATTCAATGATTCTCAAAACCGTCAATATCAATATCGAAAAACGCTTATCACTAGATAAACCAAACTATGCAAACAATCGCCACTACTTTGACGTTTTAATCGTTTTACCGCAAAAGAATCGAAAAATATGCAAATGACCGGAGCCAACGAGTAAAACCGTTTCACTTTTACCAATGACAAGATATTATGTAGTGGAAATAGACTTTTTTATGTACAAAAAACAGCTTACAATCATCAAATTTAAAATTATTCTGGCCTTCGTATTTAAAAAAATTAACTACTTTCCAAAATTTTTAAAAATATTTGCCTAGAAAAGTCATCTGCCAGACACAAAATCGAAATTTAAAAAATTGCTCAAGAACCTCAAAAACTTACGAAGTTATCGAATGAGCTTTCGTACGAACTCTCCCAGTAGCCAGAATCCATCGAACACTGGGGCAGTTGGGTAGCCAAGGAGGCGTCGGAATTCGAGGGGAAAGCGACCGCCGTTGAGGAAGCCGGTGTTGCAAGTGCGGATTTTCGGCGCGATTGAAGGGCGCACGAACTGGAGGAGGCTGGCTCCAAAAATCGCTCGCCCATTATTTGATGACCACTCGCGTCGCCCGACCTCAGCGAGTCGAAGGCGGGAATGGAGCTGGCAGTAGAGTTGGGGTTGGAACTAGTAGTAGAGTTGGAAGTGCAGTTGGAGTTTAAAGTAGAGTTAAAAGTGGTGTTGTTATTGAAAGTGGAATTGAAGGTGGATTCCATTGACAAATCCGAGTACATGCCCGAATCGAAGGAACTATTCATGTAGTGATGGGTCAAGTAGGGGTGAGAAGACATGGGGAGTGTTAGGTTGAAACATCCTGTAAGACATAACATGTTAGATAAAAAAACTGGTTTTATAGTTTACTGTCAATATGAAACCTTTACAAGACATTATTTTAAGTCTCGTATCACAATCGCCATGCCCTCTACCTCCAAAAAATATAAAAAACCTAAGTTTTACCACCCCAGTTCCGATATCCCTGAATGGTACCTACTCCCACACATGTTCGAATTTACAGCCCCGTTTAGAAGGCTTTGAATACTTTTGACATTAGTGTTTAATTGGTCACGCTAGTGTCCTTGCTTCATTCAGAACGATCAATCTTTAGAAACAAAAACGCCAAAACAAAAGTATTCAAATTGGAAAACATTACTGACTCATTTTATCGTATTTACTTTCGAGATAACAGTTTTAATAGAATTTAAAACATTTTTTGGGTATTTAGGTGTAACGGTCAAAGAACAGTTTTTACAAGATTTGTTGGTCACAAAGTTTATAGAATTGTATACTGTGAACAATATATAGTCATATCTACAAATCCTTGACCATTTGGTTCATATTTTTATCATTTCTATTTACTTTTTGACCAAAAAAACCTGTAAAACTTTTTTTTTCACATCACTTGGCTTATATAGGCTTATTTTAACTTTTCTACGCATTTTTTGACCAAACAATACTGCCACACAAAGTAATTTACATTATTTACTACCCTCGTTCAAAAAACCGTTACTATAGATGCCAGGAGATGCATATCATCATTTTAAATTGGAAAACAAAAGTTTCTTTGAAACACCGACAATTAGTCAAAGGAAGCGTTCCAAACAGATATTTTGACACTTTCACTTCAACGCGACTTTAAATTAATCAAAACTACAGTAATCTTCTTTGTTTTCAGGTAAATTTGTATAGTTTAACCAGTTTTTACAAGTTCTGAGATAATTTCTTGTGTTACAGTAGTTTTTTTGTCCAAAAATTCAGTTTAAAACGAGACAAAACTTGAAAATTCTCAATAAATTGTCAAGTTCATACCTAAAATTACATTTCAAAAACTCACGTTTCGAACTTTTGTTTGGCTTCATCAATACTGCACTGTTTCCGGATCCGGCACCATTCGGCAAACTTGGACCGGGGCTTTGTCGGCGTTTTGTGGATCTGAGAAGGGCGCTGCAATGAGGCACGCACATCTTGACTCATTTCTACCCGTGTTACCTAAAAAAACAAAAACATTAAAAGGGTTGTCAAAGATGGCATTCTGGTATTGAAATCAAGTATTACGCGATGAGAAAGGTGATAGCGCGTAAGAAAATAGTAATATCTCGTTGAAGATGTCATCACACAATAAAACACATTTTGTAAAATACTTACAAAAAACAATTTCAAGATTAGCCTAAAAGATAACATATTAAACATAACCTAAAAGATAACACAGTAAAGTGAAAAGTAAGACAAATTTTTAACTTTCTATTTACTTTTTGACCAAAGTTACAAAAAGATTTTAGGTACAAACAGAAGCAGGACATTGGTTTTCCATTAAGATGTCCTTTTTTGTCCTTAATAAGATTAATAAAGTAAACAAAAAGTTGCCGTAGTCGTATACGCATATAAGATTTACCATGTTTTCTTTACTACAACATAATAAAGACAAATATAAAAGGATTAACAAATAAAAGTTTGTATAAACCATGAAAAAATTTTAAAAAAAAACCAAGCATAAAAAATCATGAATACCTAAATTCAGGACATTTCCAGTCATTTAACCCACCTAGAAATGTAAATCCAGCGGTTAAATAGCCAATATAATAGCTTGTAAGAGGTCAAAAACAAGTTTTTTCAGCTGAATTTCCTTTTGTAAATCAAAGTCAAATGAGCCAAACTTAAAATACAGTTTTTCTGTATCTACAAAACAAGGCTTTTTGGTATAAACTCCGAAAAAGAATAAAATGTTATCCAAAATCTTTATTTCCAAAAATATTTTTTATTTTTTTGCGAAACGATTTCACGCCAAGACGCAATATCAATGGAGATGTGAGGGAAAACGTTGTAAATACGGCGCAAATCAAAGTTTTGTTGACGTACTGTGTAGTATTATTAAAGTAGATCATATTTTAAAATTTAAAATTAATTTTTAAAAAAGTTTGAAAAAAGTGATAAATTATAAAGATAAGGCAATATAAAAGTTAAGGTAAGGTTATATAAAATTTGGTCAACGGTAAATCAACCGTTTTAAAATAATATTGAGAAAAAGTCACAAATTAATATTCTACGTGCTCAGAAGAACATTGATTACATACATTTGCAAACTTAAACCAAAAATGACTTGCAAAATCCACACTGTAAATTAGTAAAGTAAAACCTGAAATTCCTCCCTAAATCAGCCTCAAATCCCAGAAACTGTTGCCCCGTGAAGCCAGAGTGAGTGATATTCCTCGTAACTCCAAAAACGTCTTTGGAACAGAAACAAAACCCTTGATTCCGTTCCTCTCCCACGTCCGCCGTTCAGACACACCGATTTCGCGCCAAAAAACTTAATGTGAGATGAGTCGGTATAAGTAGACGAAGGGGAAATGTACCACTCCGTCCACTTTTTACTTGCACATTCACTGTAAAAACAATGTCATAAAAAATGAACATTCTACGGCTTAATTTGGGACTACTTATGTTGAGGTAGTTTGGGTGGGAAATTTGGAAGTTTTAGAAGGAAGTTGAAATTTGGTATTAAAAATGAGGCAAAATTCAAAAATTTTTAAAATTTAAAAATTAAAATTTTCAGAAAAGAGTATTAAAGTACCCTTTCACAAAAAAAAATGAATTTTTTAAAATTGCGTTTTTTAAATGAAAAATACACAAAGGTAAAAAATGTCAAAAAAAATCTATGGCAACAAAAAACGACCTGTGGAATAAGTGCCGTTGTGCCCAAATGAGGCCAAATGAGCGACGAGAGGTCAAGTCCGGGTCAGCAGACCCGACTTAATAAGGGAGGGGTGACAGGAAGTGATGAGGCCAAATGACCGGTCATTAGCCCAGTCAGCTCATAAAGGGTTGTTTTTTAGTGTCAAAAGTTTTTTATACATAAAAATAGGTTTTAGTTTAAAATTACGGAGGATTACATTTTTGCATAAGCTTTTTTACAAAATATATAAAAATTTTAAAAATCTATGAAAAATCAGTAAAATCTCCGAATCTCGTATTTTACCTTGTATAATACCTTGAATAAGCCCTAAACTATGTTAAACCCATAAATATCTAAAACATATTTCCACCAAGTTTAGTGTTTACAGCCAGCTAGCTTCAGCCTTCTTCACTCGAGGTTGTCGCTTCACGGCTGGAAATCTGGTCGCATTTCTCGACGGAAAAACAGTCAAGACCAAGTCATAAATTAAAGTTAAATCGCACTATTAATGAGGACAAGTCATCAAAATCGAGGACCAAAATTTGGATATGCAGATTTGGCGCAGCTTGACTACTTTTTAAGATTTACATTATTTACACAGTAAATTAGCAGATCTTCATTAATTATGCCATACTGTAGGTCTAAACCTCAAAATTCTTAAAATAATTTTTAAGTTAATATATAATTTTTTTAGCTTTATCATCTACACAGTGTAAAGAAATAAAGTTAAAAAGACGAAACAGACAAAGATTTACAACCCACAATAAGATAGCTGTTGGTAGCTTCGAATGACCCCAACCACCATAAAACCACCTACCTAGCTGTAAATGAGTTATACAACGTCGCTACACTTTTATAAATTGGCTATTCTTTTCTTATCTATCAGAAGCCAATTTCACACCTTTATCCGAAAGGCGTTATACCATAAGACAAAGCTAAAGCTACCTTACACTATAAAAGAACTACATACTGAATTATCTTGTCCTTTTGCATACGCTACAAAAGATACTGTTCATGTTAGATACACTATAACGCTTTTCTTTATGCTACAAACCCTACGATAAGTATCCTACAATAATATTTCAATGATACGACTATGTTACGCTATATGAAAGAACTATGCTTGACCTTAAAATGGCAAATAATCGGCGTTAACATCAATAGATTAAGCGTTACATCAGCGACAAAACCAATAATTACATCCACAAACATTGAGACTCCGGATAAAGAGAATAATTAAGGGTAGACAATATTATTATGCTATGGGTAAGAAGATAAGAAAATTTAAAAGAGGGTATAATATGCGGGGAAAACGCTAAAATGGGTAAAAATATGAATTTAGAACGCTAAAATACATGTAAAACTAAAGATTTAAAGAGAAAACTGTCTGGAGGAGCATTATGTTAAACATAAAGTAGAAAGTAAAATTTTTGTATCAAGCTTTGCTTCAAAATATAGTCTTTGTTTTTTCAAAAAAATGACATTTTGGAGATCAAAAAACATAATATATAGATACATAGGAATTGTTAGCATCAAGAAGGTAGCTTCAGAAATTTTCCTAAAGCCCCGTAGTATTATACTATTGAAGCAACTGCGTTTTGTTATATAACAATACAAATTAAAGAAAGTTTTTGTATAAAACCGATTGTAAGAGATCATAAGCATTTCCCGTTAAGAAAAAGCGCAAAAAATTGCTGACATAAACATTCTTTTTAACAATAACATCTTTAAAAAATACATAAACCGTACCCTTAAAAACTATACTAATAACACTCTCCCCTCAAACCATTCTAATTTCCAAATGTGCCATTCCTTACGGCATATCACTCATTCGTAAAACTGACAAAAAACCCCTCCTTATCATAATTACCAGACCGTTTGTACCATTTTTAATGTAAAAAAATTGTGATAGAGATAGGAGGGCAGAGAATGTGAGAGGACGATCGCCTCTTATCGCTTCATGGTCAAGGTAACGACAACAGACGGACATTCGGCCGCGACGATAACGATCAGTGCGCAGCCAGCTGCCCCCCATCCTGATGACGGTGATAGTATGGTCATTAATGACTTGTGGAAGGTTATTTACTGTGGTTATTTACTACTGACTGAATGAGGGTGGTGTGACCAATTATGCAAAATACGCTCAGCAAAATCTATACGTGTTATACTTTAGTCTATGCTACAAAATTTAGAAATTTAGAGACCCGATAGGCTGTAACTAAAATATTAACTTAAGAATTTAAGTTGCAGTTTTACATTGCCAAGGTATAAGTTAAGTGGCAACTAACCCTAGCGGCAAAAACAAAAGCGTAAGCAATTTGAGAAAATAAGAAATCGAGAACGTAAAATCTGAGCGAAATCGCGAGCCAAGGCAATAATAGCGGCGACAGAAAGGGAAACCCGGCCAACGATATGATTTTACGCTGCTAGTTGCGGTAATTAAACAATCGAGTGCCATCGTAAAGCTGCCTTGCGACAAAAGCAAAATTGTCTTCATGAGGGTGAGAACAACAACTAATTACTATGAGTTTTGTAAATAGATCTCTCAATAACTTTCATATTATCTTCTTCCTATGCTTTACAAAATTTTTTTTTAATCTTCCCGTTCCTCTCTCCCCCTAGCAAGAAACTATGAAACACAGGTTCTTTTCAAACTTTTTTGATAGAAAGGTCATGCAAATGTAAGATCTTATTCAAAATACAAAAATTTTACCACTATTCTTAAGAAAAATGAGATAAAAAATCACTTTTAAATTACTCGCCAATTTGGCATTATGCTGCAAGCCCATAAATTTGTAGTTTGTTTGACTTTTAATAAGTTTTCTTTTTTATAACAGTCAAGAAAAGTTCAAGTGACCTATATTTTATAAATTTCGTAAGACTATCTTAAAAAATACTTGCAACACAATGCCAACTTTGTTAAAATGACGGAAAATTTAAATGTTTTACTTTTAAAACAAAACCGCAAGCTTGCATTTTTTGTATGTCCTATTAGTACTAATAAGAATTTTAAAAAAATTACTAAATTCTGACCGTTCCATATTAAAATCCTTCCCAAGTTTTCTCTTTTTGTGAGTTTTAAAATTTTGAACTAATAAACAACCTCAAAGTATCATAACCCTCCCATAACTCCAACAACACATGCCACCACAAACCAGGTTCACAAACTTTGGCACACTTTAATCTAGCGATTAAGTGGCTACGTTTATCTATTGTGCAAATATATTTTGTCCGGTCACTCGATCGACCACTCCCTCTCGACCGATCTTATTCTAATTTATTTGGGCTAATTGT